CGCACATACACGTACACACGCATGCACGTTGTCATTTGAGCGAAATATTCTCAAGCACGACGTTAAACCCAATTTCACCTCACCTCACCTCAGCGAGCCTGACCACCCGATCCCGTTAGTCTCCTCTTATGACAAGCATGGGTTACTGAAAATCAATTCTAACCCGGATCTTCACGGGAGATTTCATACTTTATATTGTCTCGAAATTCTAGTTTCGTTATTAGATTATTAATGTCAATATTTGAAAGGCCGGTTAATCACATACACATAAACTCTTTTAGTATCCCAAAGTCTTCCGAACATGCGTTTAACCTTGGTACACTAAAGCCACAGATATTCTCAGGCACTCAGTCAAAAAAGCAAACTGGGTCGATTGATAATCGACGCACTGTTGACGTGCGCTGAACGCAAACAGCCCGAATGATGGATGGAGGTGGAGTCTGAACATCCGGGGTATTATAAGTAACATATCATTAAGTACCGGGAAAATAACGGTACTGGGGTCACCACCGGTTTATCCCAGACAATATCTAACACGAGTTAAGGATATCATTACACTGTGTCTTCTTTACGTGTTATTGATACATCACTACTTATATTGATTTTATACGTCACAGATACCATCAACTAAGTCAATGGGGTGTAAATGTACACATTAATAACGGAACCATTAGGCGTGGCATAACTGGGAACAGTGTGAGATGGATATAGAAACTGGTATATTGACTAAGCATTGTTTCTTAATGACAGCACTGTCTACGTGGTCAAGTGGAGTGACTCTCTCGGGAACAAAATGTCGGAGAATCGATCAAAGGACCCGTAATACCAGTATAGAGAGTGACTTTACTTTTACGCCTCACTCAGCAATATTTCAACTATATGGCGGCTGTCTGTAAAAATAATGGTCACGTAGATCCGGACTGCTTCGTAGACTGCCAGGAGTTTGTCTTTCACAAGATGGGGAAGGAGTGAGTGCTTCAGAATGTTTACCTTAACACTGATTTGTTTGTTTAATGTCGCACTCAGCAATATGCCAATGGGTTATCAATAATCAAGTCAGGATCAGACAATCCAGTGATCAACAGCATGAGCATCGACCTGCGCAATTGGGAACAGATGCCATGTGTCAACCAAGCCAGCGAGTCTGACCACCTGATCCTGTTAGTCGCCTCTTACGACAAGCATGGGTTACCTAAGATCAATTCTAATCCTGATCTTCACGGGTTTATACCAATATAGAAAGTCAGAGCAAAAGAATACCCAGTTTTGACTGTCATCAGAAACAATCCCGTTTGGTGTAACTGGAAACTTAGCCGTGAAAAATAGATGAATGGGTCACTGAAAATCAGTGATGACACCAGGTGTTCGCGAAAATGGTGAACATGTCCTGCCCTACCGATAGCACCCGACATTAACAAAGTTCGTAAGTGTTTTGGCCTGGCGCTGTACAGCAGTACTCCAACCAAGCGACGGTGGCCTGTAAACAAACCAGACAATAATTATTATGCTACAAATGAACCAGAAAATCTAGTTAGATAATTTAGTTTACGATGCTCATAACTAAGGAAAAACGTAAATACATTTGTTTCACAACATATATGGGATCAGCTTTAATGTCCCAAACACGCTAAAAGAGGGTTCTACAGTAACTACGTTTATAACGGTGTTAAACGAACTAACGGATATCTCCAAACTTTGAACAATACCTACTTCTCTCAGATGCTATTCGAAACCGATCCTAAAATTTAGAACATGCAACCATAAACTTCCCATAGAAACTGGGAGATGGCAAAATATACCAAAAGAACACAGAGTTTGTAACTTATGTGACTCACATTTGGTCGGAGATGAGTTCCACTATTTGTTTAAATGTAATTATTTTGCAGACATATGTAAATCATTGTTAAAAGAACCTTATAGTTCCTGGCCATTATCGAAATTCCGTCAACTGTTTTGAAGTAAAATATCTACCCTTAAAAATGTATCCAAGTTCTTTAAGATTGTTTGCAAACACTTTAATTGATGCATCATTTAGTCATCTTGTTGTACATATTGTATGTAACATACTCATTTGTTATACTCATGTACCACCGATGGTGGATTATTTTGAGTAATAAAAAACATGTGATGATGATGATGAAAACTGATGTTTTAGTCCCGGTCACAAACTGTAGATATTGGTCAAACTAAGGTTATAGTAAACTAAATTCTTTAGCACTAAGTTCGCTGTATCCTGTAGTTTAATTGGATAAACGAAAGTTTACTGTGCCTGAGGAGGATTCATGGTATCACAGCGGGCTAGAACTATAACCGGATTCAATCTGGACTAGTGTGTGCGTGCGCACATCTGAAAAAGTACATCACAAAAAGCGTTAAACATGTCAATTTTCAAGAGAGGGAAAAGGTGAGAAATGAGGTGAAAATGGACTTTCACGTTGTGTTCAAGATGATTGAGCTGACCCTATTTTGATTGATGATTGACCCTCTTTTTATTTATTCCAGACAAGGTAACAACAAGTACGATGTTTTAATGTAACATCTCTGAGGATGGAGCGGCCGAGGATCGAACCGCGGACCTTTCGGGTGTGTGCATGGATCCTGAAAGTGTGAAACTGTCGTGAAAACTGGTGAAAATAAACTGTGCGCCACTCCTTTCTCAAAATGCTGTATCCGCCCCTGTATATATAAATAGCGAAAGGTCCTTTCCGGACTGTTTTCACTCGTACACTCGTAGCTATTCATTGATCACATTCTAAGGGTCAGTTATATCACAAGAACACGTAAAGCTTGTAAGTCACTCAGTCTTTAGCCTAGCGGTTAAAGCGTTCGCTCGTCACGCTGAAGACCCGGTTCAATTCCCCACTTGGGTACAATGTGTGAAGCTCAAGTCTGGTGTCCCTCGCCTTGATATTGCTGGAATATTGCCAAACTCACTCACTCATATTATTTCCGCACTGAAGAGAGTCCATGCCTCTAGTACATAGATAATACTAGTTCAGAGTGTATACAAAGCAGTTTTCCGCTAGACGAAGACAAGAAAAATATCCAATGACAATTGTCGCAAAGATATACCGCTTGAGGTGTTTAAGATTCATGTTAAAATACATTGAGATGGAGAAAGGAACATTTACTGACTGTCATGCAAAGGAATTAAACATACTTTTAAAAGTTGTATTAACCCAAACAATGCTCCCAACACATTACTAGACTGAGTACAGTCGCCGAAATGGTAAAAAATTCCCGGTTCTCGTAAAATCCCCTGGCGGCAAAAAATCGCAACATGAATTATCTCCCTTGTTTCTAGCCAATCAGAACACGTGTTACATCGACTTCGCTCCAATACGGCGGTCGCCATGGAGTTAGTTGATCAAAATTCGAAGGATAGATTCGGTATTTCATGTTTAACTGAAAATCAGAAACTAGCAATAGAAAGTGGAGCCACAAATATCTCTCCACTGCCGGAGAATTAAGTTGATGTGACACACAAGAAATTTAATGGCATCTTGTCCGTTGTCAACGAAGGCGATGGAGACGTCATTGATCCGCCATTTCATGACTGAGTTGTGTCTAGAAGAAACGTTTGCGCATCGCGCAGAAGAGGTTCTAGTTTTCGCGAAGCATACAGAAATTTCTGAGGCTTTGCGAATGGTAACTTTTTGTAACAACGTCGCTGATTGCACAAATACATCTGATTGCAACCAATCACGAATCCTGAACACTCGCACCATGAAAGGGCCGTATTAGAACAGGTTACGTGGGAAGATATGACTTGAGTAACCTCTGTGGGAAGAGAATGCATTAACCTGTACTCCTGTATAATTGTCTTTATGGCACATGTGTTTTCATTGTATCAGTTAATTGTCAATAAGAAATCATGTGACAATAAACTGATACCTGCTGCTAACATTTCATCAAGTTGCCTTGCACATTCTGCTCTTACTTTTGAAGATTGACGACGGAAAGGCATATGTACTGGTTCTGCTTAACCTGTTTCTATTTTGCGCAAATGAAGATCTGCTTTGCTTAATTCCTGAAGACTTGATGCAAATACTGATCTTTGTGAAGCAAGGAAGCATTCTAGTTGCGTCTACTCATCAGGAATTCAGTCAGAGTTACTGAGATCACATTTTAAAGGTTCTGTACTTCTGTACTCTGATAATGTTGCACTGATGTTTGACCTTGATGAACCTTTGTTGTCTTCCAGCAGACATGTAACATCCGGGTCCACGTAAGATGCTGTTGCCAGGATTGTATTTGCTTTCAGATGGACAGTTGAACTTGTGGGATTCATGATGCGAATCCGTGGCTGTACCAAACATCAAGCAGCTACTAGGTTTGTATAGAAGAGTGATGAAGCTGGCTCTAGAAGAAGTCTTTTGTGATGTATCTGTGTTTACACGTTTAACTGGCAGATCACACTGAGTGTGTGGAGGAATAGTGCATTGTTGTTGAGCCCTAACTGTGCCTTTGTTCTTGTGAACTAGTGGTACACTGAACACATTCCCAGCTGAATGGAAGAGATCTATTTGAACTCTGCATTTACGGAGAAAGTCTTTTCCTAATATTAGTCTGCTGGGAATAGAGGAAACATGGAATTGCTGTTGAAACTGAAGATGGTTAATAGAAATGGAAAGTGTTATGCTACCTAGCACTGGATGGGTCTCACCACCTACACCTGTTATCCTATTATAACAAGAGGGTATCAATATTCTGAGTAACCTGCTTTTTTTAGATAGTTGAGTGTAACACAAGAAATGGCTGCACCTGTGTCTACTAAGGCATTGGTTTTGACATTGTTAAAGAGACTCTAATGGTATTGATATCCAAAGGCTCAATTAGTGAAATAGAAGGTTCAGGGGTTTCCTTGGGAACTTTGATAAAATCTCTGAAGTTTGAGTTGACAAGGATTTACTTGAGGGTTTTGGAAGGTTACCTGAAGATTTCGTCCTTGGTTGCCTGGTCTCCTGTTTGGAGCCAGGCGCCTCATCCTATTGTTTATTCCAGCAAACTACTTCAGTGTGGCCTGGTATTCCACAAACAATGCATGTAGTTTTTCTATATTTACAGACAAAAGTATTTGGACACCACCCACCACAACGTTTACATTTTGGTTTGGGAACCAATTTCTGTAGCTGCTGCTGTTGCTGGTGCTGGTGCCGCTGGTATTGTTGCATCTGCAGTTGTGGTTAAACTGCTGCCACTGTTGCTGTTGCTGCCATAGTTGTTGTTGCCTCCATCCTTCATGCTGCCGTCGTCTGTTTTTCTTTTGAAGCGGCTGCTGAGGATTAGCTGTGTCCTGGGAACTGTGGCGGGTTGTCTGCAGACAGATTAATTGCTTGATTGCTTCGGAGAGCTTGGCAATCTCAGTATCCTCAGGCCTCAGGGCTTGGACTGCTGTGCTCCGGTTTGCCTTTTCTGCATCATCTGCTGCATGCCTTACTTCTTCCAGTGTCTTGGGTTCTTTGTTCTCAACCCAAACACGCATGGCTGAGTTAAATTCCTTTATAGCAATACCCACAAGGAAGGTTTCAGGTAGATCTTTGCATCCGGCCATTTCTATCCTCGGTACAAAGTCCCTTGCTGATTCATGTTGATTTTGTGACATTGTCAGCACTCTCATGTCATTTTTGCTGGGCATAAATCTCTTAGTAATGGCTGTTAACTGGTTGTGAATGTCACTTGTTGTCATCTCTGAGAGACTGTCATACCATCTACTGGCACCCCTTTCCAGATACATGTATAAAGGCAGGAGAAGTCGTTGTCCTTCACTGTCAAGTCTTTTTCAACTGGACAAAGTTCCTGAACTTCTTTACCCATAAAGTAGCATTATAGTCTGGAGAGCCTGAGAACTTTTCCAGGGGGACATCAGCCACCACAGCAGACTTCTGTTGGACAGGTCTTGATGCTGATTCATTCACTTGCGCAGATGTTCCCTATGCCACTTGGTGAGCCTGAATCTCCTCTTGTCGGACGTCAGTTGTGCCTGTAGAGCTTGTATCTTGTCTGGTGTGGTCTCCACAGTACGGTTTTTCAATTCCTAGTTGATGAGGATACTCCTTGGTGAGAGGCCGGTGATCCTGATTTCTCCTCCAATTGAAATCGTGAGGACTAAAGGTCTAAATACACGACTTCGTCTGGTTGATAATTTTGTGAGGCCTCTTCTTTGTTGAGAAGTAGAGACCTCACTTTAAGATTGTGAGATGTGTTGTTGGGGAACCTTAATTAGAGAAGGAAACCGTGAGCACAGAATTGTGACGTGATCCATTTATTTCTGGAGTGCAAGTGATTGATATTACAGAACAATCGATAAGATTATATACATATTAAAATACATGAAAGAAGAGTTTGATAATCTAAGGTATTCATACAAATTAAATTATTTTAAACATTCCATATTTTAGAATGGCTTAACAACATTTTACAATAAGTACGGTGTCACATGTTTTCTTATTGACAATAAACTGAATATGAAACACATGTGACATAAAGACAATTATACATGAGTACAGGTTAGTGATACACAATATAGTCAAAGGGGCTCCTGGTAGATAGAGATTATGAGTTTGGCCGGAGGCTAATTGAAGCAATGATCCACAAAATATCTCAATTAACTCTAGGTTTACAAATGCAAAAGGTAGTTTGCGTGATACGCTGCACTTAGCCTATAAGTTAACATTGTCTATTTATGACTTGATAATTAAATAAAACAACACATTAAAAATATGAACTCTACAAATCTGAAGGGTGGTAATCATTTTTAGATGCGTCGCTAGTAACGAAGGGAGACAACTTCATGTCTTAACATATCAGTCTCAAAGGGAGATGCAATAATTACTTTTATAAAACACTATTTGTAGCAGACATTATATATTACAGTTTACAATATAGTTTAACAGAATTGATATAAACATTGTATACACTGATTTAAGTCTGGAAATACCCCTGGTACACATTGGTCAAAGTAAAACTTATGTTACATTGTAATGAAATAAATAATTACAATAATACACCAGTATTGCATATAATATATCACATGTATACATCAATAAGTGAGCTGCTTACCTTGAATAGACAAGGAAACCGTGAGCACAGAATTGTGACGTGATCCGTTTATTTCTGCAAGTGATGGTTAGGACCTACACCTGCCCTCCATATATACCCCTTAACCCGGAACACAGTGATTTGTCATCTCGTGCCACGCTCACAGTTTCCATTCAAGATGACCAGCTCGCATGATAAACATAAATCTTTTCAACTTCTATGCACATCGCTCTGTAACTGCAATGGGAACTGTTAAGGGAGACTTCAGAATCACAGAGATCGATGTTTGACAAAATGATGTCACGTGACTGATCAAAACAGTAACCTTTCCATTAATTGGATGATGAATTATATCTTTTGCTATTAAACATAAGTCTTGTTTGTTATATTTCTTGAAAGTATTAGAAATAGTATATATATATCTCAAATTGCAAGAAATGAACATTTTTTATAGTCGGCGACGATTCTGGGTGGACTTCAGCACTCTTTCAGTTTTTAGCGGCCGTCTCCGATTTTTCGGAAAATAGTTTGTTCTACCATGATGTTCCCTAGCACGGTGCAAGGTTTTCTGCTATATTCCAGCGGGGCAATGTCATATATTGTTAGAATTGGAAATCCGTGATCTTTGGCGGCCATCTTGACGCCTCTTGGAAAACGTTTTTCGGAAAATGGGCCTAAAAAATCGGGCACATCCAAAAATGTGAAGTTGATTTCAAGAGCATCACGGTGAAAATAACTCCGTCTGTTAGAGACTTGCTTCTATTGCAGATCGGTACTCGCATCGCAAATACGGTAATCTAATCTCCAGTGAATGTTATTTCATATCATAGGTTATAGCCCTGGAAAGCCACATTTAAGAAAAACATTCTGGGCTCTCGACAAGAAATCACACATTTCAACCATAAGTGTATCAAGGAACCATACCACAGATTCCTTGGAAATCTGCCAGCACTCGCCAACCACATGAAGACTATATTCAGCAAAGGGATGGATGACCACTTTGACCAGAACTTTAAGGACTATCTAGAAGGCAGAGTTGCTGAACTAACAACATGTACCTCCAACAAGTTAATCGACGTCAAGAGCCTTCTGACCTCTCAGTCTGAGGCAAGCAATTTTAAGGCTCAACCATTCAACAGAATTTTGGTGGAATCTACTATGAACACTTGGTTTCATCCTTCATCCCAACGATTCAACAGAATAATCACCACAGGTTTCATCCCATCTCAATCTTCAAAGGCGGAGGCAAACCAAGGACGTCCCCAGATTCATACAGAGTAGTGACTCTGTTGCCTGTTATTTCAAAACTCTTTGAACAGGTGATAGCGAAACGGATTTCAAGACTCCACAGACTTCCCTGATCCTCAGCAATGCGGCTTCCAGAAAGGCCTCTCGTCTCTCCATGCATCATTCCTCCTACAGGGAACGGAATGACTCTCAGAAAGTGGTGTTCTTGGACAGCAGTAAAGCCTTCGACACTGTGTGGCATGATGGGCTACTCTGGAAGCTGAAGGAGTTGAACATTCATCCAGGTGTGTGGCGCATTTTCTGTAACACATACGCTGAAATGGAAAGCTGTGTTCTCGCCAATAATACCTACTCATCCTGGTTTAAACTCGACCGTGGAGTGAGACAAGGTAGCGTCATGTCTGCCAAGCTCTTGGTCTATATCAACGAGTTTCTGAGAAACCTATCACATCTTAAGAAGGGAGCATTCGTACTGGATTTCCACCTCGCTGCTCCAACTCAGGCAGATGATATCTCACTGATCAGTCCTATCACAGCTCATCTACAGTTCCTGGTAACAGAGTGTCAGAACTACAGTGCCAAATGGCAGCTCACATTCCCTCAAAAAGCAACGTCTTGGTCATCCTGCAAGAAACACCAAGTGCCATGTCAAACTTTACGGAATAAAGTTACCTAAAGTGGACAACACAAGGCATCTCGGCATTCTTCTCGACTCACACCTCAGCAGCCACACTCAAACATCAAACGCATGTTCGAAGATGAAGTCAGCTGCAATGATGTTGATGAAATCAGGCTTACACAACAGTGGGTTGAATCCAATTACCAGCTCCAATCTTGTCAAGTCTGTGTGTGTGTGCCCAAGGCCTTGTTTGAAAGCAAATTGTGGTCAGGGTTGAAAAGGGGCGATATCATCACTGTCGAAAGGCCACAGCACAGCGATTCTGTATGAAAGATATGTCAGGGGCTCCCAAAAACTACTAGAACTCCCTCATTGGACGGTACTCGGCAGAGTCACATATCGACACAAGGAAGTTGTTTTTCCTTGGCTCCTTGTGCAACAGCAAGAAGCACCTACTTTGCTTTAAACTCTTTATCTCACGCCTGTTTGCGTTTTGAAACTGTACATTGAAGACAAGAACAGGATTTATACCAGGTATAGTGCATGTACTTGAAAAATACAAACTGATGCTGTTTCTTGATAATTTCGTCTCCTCTGATGTCTTCATGAGTCAACTCTCCTGGAAGAAGATCGTAAAAGACTCTGTCATGGAAGACGAGAAGTCCTCCTGGAACCCACGAATGGCATCAGATCCAGATCTCAGACACTTCAGGACATTACACCCCTCGATAGAGCCACACCAAGTTTGGGGCCAAAAGATACCCCTTCGTGAAACAACAGTGCCTCTTCATAGTGCAAATGTGTGCTCTCTGGCTTCCTTGCCGTGTGTATGGAGCTTGTGATAAATGTAGTGTGAACTGACAGACCTCCTGATCTATGTCCTAACATCGTGTAAAGCTTGGGCTGGCTGCAGAGACCAACTCTGGTGTGACATTATCAACGTGGGCCCAGTGGAGTTGATCGTGGAACTGCACAAGACTGATATGGACCTGGTGTGCAGCCTGCTGTCCGGCCATCCGAGGAGACTGAGCTGTACACACTGACTGTTGTTAACGGACTCTACGCGACCTGTCATGCATGAATATTTTACGCGTTGTTAATTTCAACTTATCTCGCATTCCTTTGTACTAAATATAAGTGTTTTTATATATAGTGCCGAGCCAGCGTTTATAAGCGCGCATGGGTTCGCGCAGGGATTACTCACATGTACGCTCAGTGCTCAGTACTCATCACTCTTGGTACTGTTACTGAACACACACTGAACACGCCTCTCGAACCGATTCTAGGAGACCAGTCGGCACTTCGATAAATTCCAGGGATAACTAACTGTGTGCTACTATTATGGAATGGATTTTCCGATTCTGCAATTCGAAATTATGCGCTGAACTAGAACTAGAAAACACAAAATCCGCATTAACTGTGAAGTAAAGCGAAACAATTCCTTCGCATTACCCACATGGTCATGTGGTTCCTAATTTGCTACAGAGAGTTGTTTTTTTCATATGGAATTGCAAAAGTACAAAGAGACTAAGTATCATTGCCTGAACGTTCATTTTGAATAATCCAAGTGTATTATTGTTAGAGAAAGTTCACCTGAGTCACAAAGGTTGACCTGGGAAGCAAGTTATAACTATACGCCTGGAGAAATGCTTAGAACTAAACTTAGCCATCTTGAATCACAGCGAATGGCTAGGAATACATAATGTATCTAGTAATATCAATATTTGATCGTTTTGCGTTTAGCCATGCTGACTTGTAAGCTACTGAACCGTTTGTTTGCAGGAGGCGTAACTAACATTATAAAAGAAGCTACAGAGGTTGGGCAAGTCCCCAATACTATCTAAATATAAAGATTTGCAACCTATCTGGCTCACACGAAAATATTTGCTTGCTACGCGCCTGGTTTGTTCAGCAATATTACAGCAATATGACGACGGTCAGGAACTAAACGCCGCCATATTGCCGGAATATTGTTGAGTGCGGCGTAAAACTAAACTCACTCACTAAACTGTAACTAAGCGAATCTGGACCATACAATCCAGCGTGAGTGATGGAAAGTACAATCACATGTCAGGTCAGCGAGCTTGGCCATCCAGTCCCGTTCGTTGCCACGTACGACACGCCGAAGACCGATTCTTCCTTCAGGTGTTCACGGGGGGTTGCTAATGTCAACTGTACTGTTAGTTTGTTGTTGAACACCGCACTCAGCAATATTCCAGCTATATGGCGGCGGTCTGTAAATATCGAGTCTGGACCAGACAATCCAGTGATCAACAGCATGAGCATCAATCTACGCAACTGGGATACGATGACATGTGTCAACCAAGTCAGCAAGTCTGACCACCCGATCCCGTTGGTCGCCCCTTACGAGAAGCATGGGTTGTTGAACATCAATTCGAACCCAGATCTTCACGAGTCTTAACTCTACTGACACAACCGCCTCCAAGTGAGCCGTAGGCACGACAACGAACACGCCGACGACACATTTCTATTTGACTCAGGGTCATGAGTTCAAAATAAATCAGTTTAGACATGTCACCCGTCCCATGTCAAGTCCACATGATATATATGTTTTCTGTTGAGCGATTCCTGGCGTATATGTGCTGTTTCACAGGTCCGTCAGGGCAACGTAAATCTTATGTTCAGGTCACAATCTTTCATTCTCTCTGCGTAATATTTGTCGAACCATTCATTTTGTTCCGGAGTGAACCAGTTCTTCCAGTCACCAACGACACCTGAAACAAACGATTGACATGAGATATGATATGATATGATTTAAACATATTTTTATTCACGAAGATGAATTGGGATTGGTGAACAAGCATTAATGCTTATATTAACACCGCTCCCAATGATATGATATGATAAACCCATAAATATTTAATTGGCCTGAGGTCACTAACGGGATCGGGTGGTCAGGCTAGCTGACTTGGTTGACACGTCATCGGTCCCAACTGCGTAGATCGATGCTCAAGATGTAGATCACTGGATTGTATGTTCCAAACTAGATTATTTACAGACCGTCGCCATACAGTGAGTGAGGCGTTAAACAACAAACAGACAAAATGATAATTATGATGTACATCAGATATGCTATGGTAAAATGCCATATATAAGGTATGATATCATGGTATATGAGATACATGACATAATATATGACGTTGTGAGCGAGAAATTATACATCCTGTGCTATGACATGATAACATGGTATATCGGACACAGGTAGTGTTATTACTGTTAATCGAGACATCAGAATTGTCCATGGTCTGACGACAATGCATTAACCTGCTTCTATAGTCTGTTTGCAGTGAAAACGTACCGATGAATGTCACTTCAAACAAAAAAGTAAATCAAATAAAGTGAAAATAATATTGCGAATCGTCACAATTTTACCTTGCCAATTGAACATTTAAATCTCAGAATTTTATTCATCTTAGGATAAAAGTTGTTTAACAAACGATCATACATTGAAATCGCTATTATTGATTTGTATTACAAAGGGGTAAGAGCAGTAGTTGGAACAGTGAAACAAATGCACGTGCTTCGTGATGAGCGTTAACTTAGACCAACTCTACTTGTTCTCGGTGTTTCATTTGATGTGCATACACCCTTGTAAAACAAACCAATAGTAGCGATTTGAAACTATGATCGTTAGTTAAACAACTTTTATCCTAAGTTGAATATAATTCTGAGATTTAAATGTTCATTTGGCAAGGTAAAATTACGAGGATTCGAAATCGTAATTCTACTTTCTTGTTTAAATTGAAATTCATCGGTACGTTTTCACTGCAAACAGACTATAGTAGGATACGTTTTATGGCCTAAAATATGATGATGGTGATAACTTGGAGATTTTACGAGCGCTTTCGGAAATGATGCGTATTTCGCTCTCGGTTATATCCACTCCAACAAGCTCAGATAAGGCTAATGCACTTACAAATGGTTCAATTTGATTGGGTAACATAGGCGGATCTACAGACTGTTTCCTATTTGTGTGGTGACAGGGTGGGCGGGGCTTGACTGTGTTTCCGATTTTGTATTGGTGTCTGCCGTTTTCATGTTAAAAATGAAATACTGTAAAACGGAAATATTCTGCCTCAGTTTATATTTTGCGAATTTTGCGTTTATATCCACTCCAACAAGCTCAGATAAGTCTAATGCACTTACAAATGGTTCAATTTGATTGGGTAACATAGGCGGATCTACAGGCAGTTTCCTATTTGTGTGGTGACAGGGTGGGCGGGGCTTGACTGTGTTTCCGATTTTGTATTGGTGTCTGCCGTTTTCATGTTAAAAATGAAATACTGTAAAACGGAAATATTCTGCCTCAGTTTATATTTTGCGAATTTTGCGTTTTCTTCCCCACGCAAAATATTTCTCGGCGTAGTCAACACCGTAAGCCGGAAAACCGGCCAAGACGTCACGAGTCCCCAGACACGGTAGGCCGGTAACCCGGCCGGGCAGTAGGTGCGTCAAATGATTTATAATTTAGGAACCTAACTAACGTATGATTCATTTTCTAAATCAATCACTTTTACAATGCCTCAAAACACTTTCAAATGACTAATATAATATCGACATGATTAGAATATTAAACTATTATTCGCAAAGTTAATTTAAAAAACGATTCGCGGACACATACTTCGGCAACGGGTCCACATCAACGTTTTCAAAGAGCAAAGTAACGATGTTTCGAGATCATAATTAAACAAATTGAATAAACTGAAGAATATATTCAATAACAGTACTCATAAAAGTAGTCAAACGTAAATTATAACTTACTATTTCCATCATTTTTTGTGCAATCGTGTAAAGTAATTCAAGTGACATCTTGGCTTAGCGCTCGGACACGATGTTTAATGCTAACATATATGCATGAAGCAATTTTATCACAGGTCATAACCTAGTACGATACGTGAATCTGTGAATTGATTATTACCGATTTGCATATTTACAAGAATTGCAGTATATATCCATACAGACAAACAATGTTGATTCTATATTTAAATGAATGAAAAGTAATAAATTGTAAGAATTTATTACTTAGCGAGTGAATTAGCGAGTGTATGAGTGTGTGTTTGGTGTTAGGCCACTTTAGCCTTGCTCTAGCAAGTGAGTGAGTGAGTTTTACGCGACATTCAGCAATATTCCAGCTAAATGGCGGTGGTCTGTAAGTAATCGAATCTGGACCAGACAATCCAGTGATCAACAGCATGAGCATCGATCTGCGTAATTGGGAACCGATGACATGTGTCAGTCATGTCAGCGAGCCTGACCACCTGATCCCGTTAGTCACCTCTTACGACAAGCATGGGTTACTTCAGGCTCATTCTACCCCGGACCTTCACGGGTCTTAGCCTTATTCTAGCCGTACAGGGTGTCCTGTGACATAAGTCTTATCTTCTTCAATAAGTGTCGTTATTTGATGCAGATATGTCTATGTACCGTGGATGAGTGAATGGATGAGTGGAAGGATGGGTAGGATGGATTCGTGGATGGATGGGTAGGTGGATGGATGGATGAGTGGAAGGATGGGTAGGATGGATGCGTGGATGAATAGATGGATGGGCTGCTGAAGGAAAGACCACATCATACTGTCATCGTGCTCTCCTGACATTAGTATCCCGGTTGTCATGGACACAAGCAGATTTCCTACCTTTCCGGTACAGTCCAGCAAACGCCCCCCTGTTCAGACGATATCTGTGCTTTCCTGTGGTTCATACCAGTGAAGCTTGTGTGTTCATACAACTCACACAGGAAGTCTTCACCCCGATCTGTGCCCAGGAATTTGTCGAGTTTCCTTAATTCACGTAAATTGTTCTGATGGCGAAAAAAAGCGATAATTAGTTAAAGATAATTTAACATTTATATATTTAAATCACAAAACTACAAATGCGCCCTAAACAGGCGCAAAGCCCTGCTTTATAATCCCGTTCAATTTTCTAAGTGAATTTCATTATCCGCTCCTTGGGCAATATATACAAGGCACATAAAGAAACTGTGCATACAAAAATTTAAAACCTAAATTTATCAAACCTGTGTAGACACATAAGGATTTAAACTCAGCGATTAGTGACATGTATCCAACATGCATGCACGTGCCACGTTCCGTGACGTCAGTGGGTTCGTCCTTGAGACGTGCAATACGTTGTTGCACGTGCATTCCGGGAAAGAGAAACAGAGCAAATGAATGCCACACAATACTGTCACTTTGGAAAGCTCAACCCCTGCCCTTGCGATCGTTAAAAAAATTAAACGGCTATTGAAAAGCATAGCATGCCAAGGCTCACGTCTGCACAACGTCATGAGGCCATTGGGATGGTCCGTGGGGGAATGTCTCAACGACAAGTGGCGGCACATTTCCACTGCCACCGGAACACCATTTCTGCACTGGTGAGACGCTACCAGAACACAAATGACGTCATCGATCGGCCACGTTCTGGACGTCCACGTGTAACAACGCCAAGACAGGACAGATGGATAAGGGTGACCCATCTTCGCCACAGGTTTCAGACTGCAGTGGTGACTGCCCGAACCATCCCAGGACTTCGCCGTATCCACCCCAACACAGTTCGACAACGTTTACGTCATCACGGGATCAGACCACGATGTCCCGCCATACGGCCTATCCTGACACAACGTCATCGACAAGCTCGCCGAATGTGGTGCCGAAATCATGTCCGCAGACCCTTGTTTTGGTGGAGAAATGTTGTTTCACAGATGAGTCCAGGTTTAACATTTCCCGTAGTGATGGACGTCAACGTGCCTATAGACGTTTGGGAGAACGTTATGCACAGGCCTGTGTCTTGGAGAGGAATCTCTTTGGTGGTGATTCCGTGATGATTTGGGGTGGAATAACAGCACGTCAAAGAACTCCTTTGGTGATTGTTCAGGGCAACTTAACTGGTGTGGGCTACAGGGATCAGATTCTTCGACCTTTGGCAATTCCTTTTCTGCAACGTCATGGCCTTTGGTTAACATTCCGACAGCACAATGCCCGCCCTCCTACGGCAAGGGTTGCTATGGATTTCTTGCAACACCACAACGTTGACTTACTGCCTTGGCCTGCAAATTCACCGGATCTCTCCCCGATAGAGCATGTTTGGGACGAGATGAATCGACGTCTACGCCGTCTTCCTCATCCGCCAGATAACGTCCTTGACCTTGCAACAGAACTTGAGAGAATCTGGCGTGACATCCCACAAGCCTTCCTTGCACGTTTGATAGGCTCTATGCGTCGTCGATGCACTGCTGTTCTCAATGCCGATGGTGGACATACCCGTTATTGAGCTTGTGACATGGTCGTTTGACCCCTGTCCCGCTTGTGGACTCGTGACGTCATTGTGAATGACTTTTCAATTGAAATTCTCCCGACTTGTTATGGTCTCATGATCCCTCCATTAAAGTTTATATGTACCTTTGACATTGTTATCGTACTTATCAACTGGGATAATATTTTGACAATGCACAGTTTCTTTATGTGGCTATACACCGCTTCGCTGTGAAGGATGCGAGTTACATTACCAAATCATCCTGCGGGTACCCATTCACTGAGAGGGGAACAGCGGCCAATGTCTATTGATAAACACCATATGTAATTGGGTCTCAGTGTAGGTGAGGTTCTAAACCCATTACTTATGCAGATACGGTCACCCTCATCTCCCCTCCGCGACCAACATTGCGCAACTTTGCTTAAAGTGTTGTGTCACAGCGTCACAACGACAAGCCATCACAAATTCATACATAATTTGATAACTGCTAAGTACAAACTATCTTTGCACTGCTATAAATGTGGACTTGACAATGTGGAAGCAGTATTACAATGTTGTATCCAGCACTTTAGCGACTTATTATCCCATCAAATATAATGTAAATATGTTTAAAATCCCTTTGGAATATATATGGTGGATAAATGAAATATAGCAAATATATTCCCTTCATTACCAAACATACAAAAAAGGCAAAAGTTATTGCGACAATCAAAAAAACAAACGGAATAGGTGTTAAACGTTTACTGAAATGTTATTATGGAAAGACAAACGTTTCAAGACATGGTAACGATCAACAGTTCATATGAACAGCGCCCTTGACATATACAAATGATCCACAACGAAAGAGGGGTTCCACGTGGAAGTTCAAACGGTCAGTAGCGAGAGTGTCCACCTTGTGCATCGATGCAAGTCTGGCACCTGCGCTTCACCGAGGCCACTAAACCTCGATGGAAGTTGTGGTGAAGATCATTCAATATCCTAGGAAGAAATTTGGCGGAATTGCTGCACCGTTGTTAAAGGATTCGGATGACGTCGTAAACGTCTCTCCATTTCATCCCAGTCGTCATCAGTATGTGAGTGAGAGAGTGAGTGAGTTAAATTTTACGGCGAATTGTTTTTCTAACCTCTGCACTTCTGAAGACTGTACTGAGTGGATAAGCGTCTGGTTGTCTTGTCTTTAGAAGAGAATGTTGCTGGCCATCTTTTCTGGAGCATGTGATGCTTCTTTCTTATCTTATGCAATTCAACAACAACTGCTCTGTCGCGTTTCTTAGGCCATTTTTACATTCCTTTTCTTTGGGTCAAATCCAAAATTCCATTCACAAGATTACCAATGAAAAACAACTTTTTCTTCTGAGTATATATCATAATCTCATAAATAATATATTTTTCAGTTCAATGGTCACATCGTGGTTTCTTGCTCAAAGATGTGTATTTCCTAATATAATCCCACTAGAACAACAAAACCAAATCACACCATTTAACCAGCAACTGTAACATTGACGACGATGCCTGAATTACGGAAATACTGTTCTGTATGGAATACTGTAAGGGACATTCTCGCGATCTCGCATTTGTGGCCATATTTGACAAGTCGAGATTGCGAGAATGCGAGATTTGACAGCATGTACAAATGTCGCATTCTCGTGATCTCGACTTTTGACAAAAAGTGCTATGTACCAAAAACACGAGAATGCGAGATCGCGAGAACGCGAGATTTTGGCCAAATCTCGCGTTCTCGCGATCTCGCATTCTCGCACTTTTGGCCTTTTTAGCTTGTTTCCAAAGGACGAGATCGCGAGAATGCGAGATCACGAGAATGTCCCTTACAGTATTCCATAGTTCTGCACTGCAATCCCGAAGTCTTAATTTACTACGTTAGTAAAATCCACGGGCAGGAATAAGGTGCTTACAAACGTGGAAAAGTATAGTGTTAGACCCACGGTCATAGGTTTCTGGTACATCTAAGGGAAGCAACTCTGTACAGCCAATTGGGGAATTAATAAGGTGATTGTGTTGGTCCTTCTCATGTAACAGAGCGGTTCTGATAAAGATAAAGAATGAAAGGAACAAATGTACCTCCTTCATGTCTTCGTAATGAAGAGTCAGGATAGGTAACTCCGGATGCTTTCGTTTTTCTTCTTCCCAGTCAAAGACGAAGTCAAACCATGATCCGTATGAAACTGCCAGGCAAGAAGCACAGATAAACTACAAACGGCATGTTACTGAGTAATATTAAGTGAGTGAGTGAGTTAATATTTAACGTCACATCGGCAATATCTCAGCCATATCGTGACGAAGGGTAATATTAAGTTATTAAGGCGAGTGTATTTGAAACCTATCCCACTTTTAATGGAAAATATGACGTTTAATTATTCATCTTTATATTCCTATTGAACTGTTGAAAGAAATGTCTCGGTGAATTGATGGGGGATGAATGTAATATTTTTCGGTGTTAACTCGTTTACCGGTTTTCCACTGACATAACGCGTTACTTGTTGACAAACAACAAACATAGAAAACAGTGCATCTTTCAACAGATAACACACTATAACCGTATGGCTGATACTGATTCATAGTGTACAGTTTTGCATTATTTTTAACAGTGCATTGTATCGGCCGGTGGTCAAGGACTCTCAATAACATTATTTCAAATTCAAATGAAATTGGCGATCAGATTAATTTCAATTTCGAACCAATGAACTTCTCAAAGCCTAAATCACCTTGACTTTTTTGCGTTTTGTTTTTCTGGGTGTTTTCTCTTTTTAAAATTTGATTAAATATTTGGTGATGTGGCATTTGTAGGTGTTCCTCGTTTGGGATATATATATATTCGTGTATGTTTGGAGGTGTTTTTTAATGTGTGTGTGTGTGTGTGTGTGTGTGCGCGTGCGTGCGCTCGTCTGTGTCGGTGTGTGTGTGTGCGTGCGTGTATCTTTGGGCAAATGTTTTCAATACGATAACCCATAGGCAGAAACCAACAACTGCCTCTCTGAACAGATACTCAGAGTTACCTGCCCTTCACTTACATTTTCCAAGCACATGGTATTTCATGAAGTTTTCCCACTTCCCCTTGTAGTTGTAGTAGGGGAGTTTGAGCATGAAGTTGTAGTAGCTGACGGCGACGTCTTTAGGGTTCCGTAACAGGTACACTATTTTGCATCTCTTCGTCACGATGTCCGGTGGAAGCCGACTCAGCATGAAGTGAGTGTTAAGTAGTCGTGGGGAAGACATTGCCTGGATGTCATCATGTGGTGCATACTCCAGCATCCCCACTCCCTTCTCCACAGCATCGTTCAGCAGATGACCTGCCAGAAGCATTCGCGAAGCCTCCCATACCCAGTGTGTCCCTGCAGTCATAGATGTAATGGTAATAATTATTTTTAAATATTTATCAATGTCACTGAAGTTTGTGTCCCTTTCGACATGAATGTGTTTTGACAAACACATGGCATATATATGCGGACCTCGCTTACGAATTGTCACATTTGCATCCCAAGTGAGTGAGTTCAGTTTTACGCCGCAATATTCTAGCTATATGGCGGCGTTCTGTAAATAATCGAGTCTGGAGCAGACAATCCAGTGATATTCTAGCTATAGCGCGGCGGGGGACACCAAGAATGGACTTCACACATTGTGCCCATGTTAGGAATCGAACCCGGATCTTCGACGTGACGAGCGAACGCTTTAACCACTAGGCTATTCCCCACATGGGTACATGTGTGAAGCCCATTTTCTGGTGTTTCCCGCCATGGTGTTGCTGGAATATTTCTAAAAGCGGCGTAAACCTAAACTCACTCACTCTTGGTACCTTAGATTTGGCACCTCACAATCTCTTGACTGACTGGCACTGGGAGAGTGTCCAGGTTTGCAGCTACGAAGATGAGCCTTTCTGACACTATGGGTAATGCAGAAGGGAGTCATTTTCTCTTGGCAGGTTCGACTAGGCAGCGCTTCCCACAGGTCCTCTTGTCTTTGCGAGGATTGAAGATTGTTGTTTTTTTCTTTTGAGATAACCCCCGACTCGAAATACTTCGCAGTACGACGTATTGTACTGTAAAGCATTTCGAGTTGGGGGTCATCTCAAAAGACACGAGGGCCTGTGGCGCTTCTGGGGAGAAGTCTAGTCTGTCTCACAGTCCCTGAACCACATTAATTTCCCTACTGCCAAGCCGTCTCTGCAATGCTAAAGCCCTAAGTGAAGCTAATGAATAGCCTAAACAGCCTGATTGTGCCAGGATCACCGAACCGCCCCTGCTGCATTCATCTGTTAACTCTGTAATGCATTATCATAATAATTGATGACCCTCTCAAGGCGTTATCTTGCTGCATTTCTGCACTGCTTTCACTTTAATTGGTTAATAAGGTTACCAAACCCTCCCCACCAGCACCTGTATTTGGATTACATAATCTTGCTCAGTCTTACCTGAGAGTAAAAGGGCATAATTTAGATCAGACTCTCCTTCAACTAAAAGTCAGTATCGGGTGGATCATGTGTGCGTGCGTGCGTGCGTGCGTGCGTGCGTGCGTGCGTGCGTGCGTGTAAATAAAAACATGTTCTTAAGGCCAAGACGCATTTGAGAAAATAAACTCTCGCCGTGACAAGGAATGCCAACATTCAAACAAAACAGTTCATAGTATTACTATCTTTGTAAGAATGTCAGGAATTCGCTGCTTAAAGCTCCAAATGAGTCTAGGGTCACAATTACGTACGCTGTTGTGACGTGCATTCTTGGGAAACCGCTGCATTCTTGTGAAACCGCTGCATCGTGTTTATGTACAGTGTTATGTATCACAATGGTCTCCTACAGACCTCTTGCTGGGATGTTACCGGCTGGCCTCACAAACTACACTTTATTGCTCGCCATTAACAGTCAGTTCCCACTCGTAATCGTCATGGGCTTATTCTCCAGGAAAATGCAGTGGATCGAAACTGTTGATGGCATATTATCGTCGCCGCTATTATGGTCGTGGCCATGAAACCGAAGTCACTCTATGCTGCTGCACAGTATCGTCGATTGTGTTTAACATTGTATGAAATAAGCCCATTTATTGCCTTTAATTGTCGTTTTTAAAGAAACCAGTGATTCTCCAAGAATCCGACTTTCGTTAGTATTTAAGGTCTCAAAATGACACACGTCAGTAAGGCAATGGTATTGTCTTTAATGTGCATATGGTTGTACCCGCGAAGATCCGGGTTAGATTTGGTCTTCAGGGAGCCGTGCTTGTCATAAGAGGCGACTCACGGAATCGGGTAGTCAGGCTCGCTGACTTGGTATCCCAATTGTGTAGATCGATGCTCATGCTGCTGATCACTGAATTGTCTGGTCCAGACCAATTTACCAATGATTGACACCATAAGCATTGATCTATGGGATACGTTGACGTCAACACCTGGCCACCCAATCCACTCGATTCGGCTGCTGGGACCAGGTCTAAACCGATACTTCACAGGGTGAAAGAAATACTTTATACAGACCGTTTATGACCCCGAATGTGGATCTTTAATTTGAAAATATATGTACAACAATAAAATAGCGTATAAAAAAGAAACTCAATATCCTTTATCTGCGTTCAAAAGTACATTCAAATATTATATGTCAACACAGATACTTAACGTACTGGAAATATTTTTTTATTGCGTAGTAAAACATCTGGCTTTATGACTAAAATGAATAATTTACAGCTAATTCGGTAACATAACTGTATTATGAATGTAAATACTAGAGATGAGGCTAGGTTAAATTGGGTTTAACGTCGTGCTTGAGAATATTTCGCTCATATGACGACGTTCATGCGTGTGTATGTGTATGTGCGGCTGCTTGTACTAGCCCAGACTTAAGCTGGTTTTATAGTGCTAGCCCACTGAGATACCATGCCGCAGTGAAGCATGAATACCCCACTCAGACACATTATACTGACTCCGAGCCGACCAGTCCTTGTTGTACCCATAATGCCGAGCGCCAGGCAGGGACCAACAAGTACCATATTTTACACCACGGAGGCGGTCCTAAATACTAGAGACTGGATCCGATCAGGTAGTTGACTATACAGACGACGATCAGGCATTGTACATCCCCAAAAAAAAAATCTCCTATAATCCTCTCCGACAACAAGTAAGGGATATGACAAAACTGTAAATCTCGACTGACTCCGACAACAAGTAAGGGATATGACAAAACTGTAAATCTCGACTGACTGACTGACTGACACTCACTCACTCAATACACAGGCCCGTGTTCTCATTTGTCAGTATAGCGATGGACACCAGAAATGTCTTTCACTCATGAGGGGAATCGAACCCTGAGTTCGATGTGACGAACGAGAACCTTACCCGCTACACCACCCGACAATACCTTCATCATTGATATTTTGACCAGACATTCGTCTATTTGATACATCTGACACAATAGCACAATATCCGGGGACCCGCTCATAAAATCGATCTTATCGTTGCGACTATCGTCAGCGTATTTTAAACTATAAGATTTAGGATAATTTCAGCGAGTGAGTCGGGTCACAAATCGCTTTAAGCAATATTCCAGCAATATCACGGCGGGGACACACCAGGAATGGGCTTCACTCATTGTACCCAAGTGGGAAATTGAACCCTGGCCTTCAGCGTGACGATCGGACGTTTTAACCACCAGGCTACCCAACCGCCCGAAGATCATCTCGCAGCTAAGACGACTTTGTGGAATTGGTCCCGATTCTTACCTGACTTGGGGAACCCGCAGATGATGATATCGTCCTCCCTGATAGGGATCTTGTGTATGTTGACAATGGAGTCTGTCTGGACGTAGTTGGGATAGTTCTGTCCCTGGTACTGAAACATTGGGAGCGCATCACCTCCAGCATCTAGAACCTTGATGCGCGACATCTGGCGGGATAACAGAGACTGAAACATGATAACGGAAACATCACTAATACTTGCAAGCATCACGCCTGACTGCACAGTCTCATGCCATGCAATGTCATGAATGCATGTCCATGGCGCTAACGTCACTTGCTGATGGTAATTAGAGACACTGTACGTGTATTTGCATAACATTGACACACGACCATATGATCGGATACCAACATACAAAAAAGAATGCACTGTTAATGCAAAGTGGTATAGCTCTAAACCGGACCGCCTATTCTTATAATCATATACTGCTGCCAACAGTGCATGGAAATAGAAAATAATATATTCCTACGTTCAATGTGCTGGTGTTGAGGCCTGTGGATATACAATTGAACCATTTCCATAGTCATAAACACCTTCTCATTGTCAGAGACCATTGCACAGTTTCGACCATATCAAGATCTTTTGTCAGTGGATTGCTATCAAATAGTGATAATACCAGATGTTCACGTGTGAGAGCATTTTGTCACGTTTGTACCTAGCGTCACCAACGCATGCACGGGCAAGTCAATTATTCATCTGATTATTTACGCATGTCAGAATAGGGAATTCCATCGGACAATTTGCTATACCGATGCGTTAAATATGGAAATGTCCTCAACGTGTCAAACTTTTTGAAAACTTCTCCCAAAGGCCTTCATTGTCGTAATCTTGATTAAAATAAAAAGTTGACATACTCAGCAGTATAGAGGCGCAAAGATTTGGACTGAATACAGTCTTATCAACTTGGATGAAACTCGGTCATGACTTCCAGATATCTGATTATATAGAAGTCAGGGCGTGTGAAACTGAAGACAAAACATATGAAACAGCGATACTAGAATAGACTTGGTTAATTTGGGTGAGGAACCCCTGTGGGTTTAGTGTTGCTTGTTGTTTAACGTCGCCCTCAGCAATACTCCAGCTACATGAAGGCTTTCTTTGAATAATCGAGTCTGACCAGGCAATCCAGTGATCAACAGCATGAGGATACAGCTGGGACACAGTGACATGAATCAACCAAGTACTGCTGCGACTGGCACCCTGAACACTGACTCCGTAGCAGGGAACCGATACATACATGTGAGTGAGTTTAGTTTTACGCCGCACTCAGCAATATTCCAGCTATATGGCGGCGGTCTGTAAATAATGGAGTCTGGACCAGACAATCCAGTGATCAACAGCATGAACATCGATTTGGGCAATTGGGAACCGATGACGTGTCAACCAAGTCAGCGAGCCTGACCACCCGATCCCGTTAGTCGCCTCTTAGGACAAGCATAGTCGCCTTTTGTGGCAAGCATGGGTTGCTGAAGACCTATTCTACCCCGGATCTTCACGGGTCGATACATACATGTGTCAACCAAGACAGCGAGTCTGACCACCTGATCCCGTTACGACAAGCATGGGTTGCTGCATCCTCGATAATCTACAGATTTATCGGAACGTATACCCTAGAATATCGAGCATGGGGTTGCTGAAGACCAATTCTAATCCGGACGTTCAGTAAAACGTGTAGTTGTAAGGAGAACGAGTTTGTAATAATTAACGTTACTTTTCAAGTGAGTGGGTTTAGTTTTACGCCGCACTCAGCAATATTCCAGCTATATGACGGCGGTCTGTAAAATCATCAAGTCTGGACCAGACAATCCAGTGATCAACGGCATGAGCATCGATCTACTTTTCAAGCTAATTAGTGAGTGATCAGTGAGTTACGTGTAACGAAGAGCCAGCCACTGTTAACGTTGTTTCAAAGTGAGTCAGTGAGTAACTGAGTGAGTTACTCACTTGCAATAAGGTTCCGCTGTAAGGACGAAAAGCTAGTCTGTGTCAGTGACGTAGTCGGAGCTGTTGCAGATTTAGGTGTCTGTCCAGTCACAGAAGTTCACCAGTAGCTCCTGAAGTCCTTATCTGTGATCGTAGTATATACCTACATCTTGTACCGTAGTGGTTACTCGTCTTGGATGCGATGGTCTGCCAACCAGTCCAGCCGCTGTCCAAGTCCCGAATAACGGAAAGTAGACTATATTTAACCCTCAGGTAAATCCAACTGCTGTGGATCGGGTTACCCTTAATGTATGGTCAGCCTGTTGTATCCCGCGCAATGCCAGGTTTCAACGCCAGTGGTCGTTCCCAACTGTGTTTACAGCGTTGTGATGGTATGTATACAATTGGGCTTAGGGACCGTTCATAATTTATGGCTAGGGGGGGTGATGATGATTTGTATGGAGAAGCATGTACAATGTGAATGACCGCCCCTAAATTTTATATACAAAATAAGTGACCCCCCTGCATGTCATGTACAAAATCAATGCCCCCCCTCCCCTTCCCATAATTTTTACGCATAATTTTAAACATAATTTGTATGTACGGTCATTGCTGACCCTCCTAGTACGTGTGTTGCAGATTGATGTCTCCCAGAACAAAATGGGTGGCCCCCTGTAAAATCAACATCCCCGTGTGTAAATGTGCGGACGGTCCCTTAGAGCACTAGATTCATGTGTGTGCAGGGTGTGTGTGTGTGTGAGTGTGTGTGTGTGTTTTTGTGTGTGGTGTAACGTGTGAGACTAACGTATAGGAAGACACCGGACAAGGCTTGTGTGGATCTTGTGCGTGTGGTGTGGTGGTGGTATGCGTGTGTGTGTGTGTGTGTGTGCGCGCGCGCGCGTGTGAGTAGGTACGGAAATAGACCACTCAGACAGACACGGTGATGTATTTGTGTGTTTCTCTGTGTGTGTGTGTGTGTGTGTGTGTGAGACTAAACTAGACAGGCCAGGGTGAACGAGTGATGGGTTTGTCGGCATGTCATCCATAGAAATTGATAGTGAGTGATATGGTTTTACGCCGTTTTTAGCAATATTCCAGCAATATCACGGCGGTGGACACCAGAAATGGGCTTCACACATTGTACCCATGTGGGGAATCGAACCCGAGCGAACGCTTTAATCAATAGGCTACCACACGGCCCCTAGAGATTAAGAAGTGTGTTGTTAATTACTCTAGTTACGTAAGCCCGTTGGTGTTTATGTAGGTTATTAAGTTATTTGAAGTCACTAAAAGTTCAACTAGCTTACATCAGCGTGTCACGTTGACTTGTTCTGACATAATGCTCTTTATCTCTAAATCCTTACCAGTGAAATTTGTGCCCCTGTCCGAACGGAATTCCTTCACTTTACCTCTGATGGATATGAAGTGCCTCAACGCGTTGATAAAAGCCGAGATACTCAGCTCATCTCTCACCTCTATTTGGACGGCTCTTGTGACAAGGCAAGTGAACAACAAAGCCCAACGCTTGCTATTTGCCTGTCCTCCCCTGGTGCGTCGTGTGGTGAGGGACCATGGGCCGAATGTGTCCACGCCTACATAAGTAAATGGAGGATATGGAGTTAGGCGATCCTTTGGCAAATCTGCCATCTTCTGTTCAGTGCCTCGGCCTCGCAGTTTGCGACACTTCACACACTTGAAAGTCACAGAGTTTGTTAGGCGCTTGCCGCAGGTGATCCACTGGCCCGCAGCTCTAACAGCTGCCTCCGTGAAGTGACGTCCTTGATGATTCACTTGCTCATGGTACATGCGAACTAGGAGTAGCGCTATGTGATGACGACCAGGTATGATCAGTGGATTTTTTAAGCCAACTTCTAATTCTGCTTTGTTGAGACGGCCACCTATCCTGAGCATTCCGTCTTCGTCAATAACTGGATTCAATGAAAAGAGTGGGCTGTCCTTCAATAAGGACATTTTAGAGCGGATGCGCTGTATGTCTTCAGCATAGTATTCACACTGAACTTGACGAATGATGAAGTTTTCAGCTGTGATGTAAGCATCTGCACTTGAAAAGGCACTTGGAGAGATGTGATGTCTATCACGTGCGATACTCTGGAGTCTCACTACAGCACGTACAAGTTTCTTCCAATCCGAAAATCTCTCAACACTGAGTGTCAAATTGTGGTTGTGACTTGTCAACCATTGTGACACATGACCTTACTTCACTTTGTAATTCATAGTCTTGATCCATGTCAGGGCTGATCACTGTCTCCGTGGTGTCTGATTTCCTAGGGAGCTGAGATGGGCCATTTAGACATTTGTTATCTCCTATTATGCTTGCCGACATAAACCTTGTTCCACAGTCTGCTGGGTTTGTACCTGTCTCAACATAGTTCCACTGCTGTGGAGAAGAAAACTTTCTGATAGTTGCTACTCTGTTGGCTATGTACACTTGAAATCTTCTAATTTCATTAGAAATGTACCCAAGTACAATGCGACTGTCCGTGAAGTATTGAACAGATGAGCATGGCGCTTCTAGACTCTCACATACTATGCTCCCTATTTCTACTGCCAATACAGATGCACATGACGAGACGAGGAATTGTATGTCCATGCGCTGGAGCAACTTTTGATTTGAAAACCGATTTCTGATCCTTTTTCATTTTGTCCAACAAGATATGCCACAGCTGAAATTGCTTTTCCTGAGGCATCTGCGTACACTTGTACTTGTTTCTCAGTTTCTTCAAAGGTTTGTTGTAAAAATGCTCTAGGAATGTTCAGCTGTTCCAGTGCACTTAAAGAGTCTCTCCAGCTTTCCCATTCCTCCTGATATTCACTTGGTAGGGGATCATCCCAATCAACTTCCTGATTTATCAACTCCCTGAGGAGCACCTTTCCTTGAATGATAACTGGTGCAACAAATCCCATGGGATCATACACACTATTGATGGTTGAGAGGACACCCCCCTTTGTGTACGGCTTCTTCTCACCTGACCATCTGAATGTGAACGTGTCAGTCTTGACATCCCACAATATTCCGAGGCTCCTCTGTAGCGGAAGTTTGTCGCCGTCAAAGTTTAAGTCTTTCAAATCCTTGGCCAAGGAAATGGCGGTCTGCTTCAAGTTCAGCCAATCTTCGTTTTGCTTGGGCTGCGGCGACTTGATTTTCTTCATCAATAATAGCACTTTGTCTTAGTAGACCTGCTTCTTTTGCTGCATGATCTATAGCAGCCTTTGTTGCTTCCGCTTTGGCCAACTTCCTTGCCATGTAAGAACTGGCTTGTGAATTTTGTGAACCAGATGCATGTGAAGGCACAGACCTTTCCTTTACTGCATTGTCAATTTGTGTATCAATGTCACGAACAGCACTGTCCATTTGCATTGCAAAACTACTAAATGTATCCTTTAGTATGTTAAAGTCATGTGTACTTTCTTCCGTACCAGTTCTGGGTGCCGTTCCACTAACCGATCTTAGACCTATGCCAATCGTAAACCTCTAAAATCCCAATCTTAGCGTGACGTTACGATCGGCATACCGTTCCACTAACCAATCTTACCTAAGTCAATCGTAAAGTTAAGATTCAAAGTCTAAGTTGCTCATGACCAACTTAGGATAGCTAAAATCAATCGTAGAGAAACCAAAATGGTGGCTTTCCTATTCTATGTGAAAAAAAAGAGCGATCATTTCACCGTGAGCGTCCCCTAAAATCCCCCATGAAATGAATTTATATATTTCTGTGATGTAAAAAAACACTGCAACGAAGCCTTACAAATGTCAGGCCAGTCTGACCACTGTCGTCATGGGAACACAACCGAGCGAGTCGATCAGTGTGACACATTTGTACAACAATATTGCAACGTCATGGTTAAGAATAACGACAGCCGTGAAGTGAACAATGTTCTGAAGCAAAAAGATACAAATATGTTTGATTTCACTGCGCATATTTGGTGGGGGATTCTAAAGGCAAGCCGCGTGTGATTCAAGATTAAATTACATTTGTGACGTCATTCCATTGTCTGCTCGCTCCATTACTTTTCAGGAATGGAGCGATGTGTACCAGCTTCAAATTAAAGGCTTCATTTTGTCATTTTGACATATAACTTTGATAACAGAAATATTCCCAATACTTTGAATGTAATTTAAGTAGGGTAATATCCTCGTAACTCTCCATTCCTTAAAAACAATGTGCCTCTCGCACGAAAGAGTCTCGATCTAAGCCTGGGCCTAGATTTTCGAAGCTCTCTTAGCGCTAAGATAGTCGTAAGTTAATGTTAATGTATGGTATGGCACTTACGACTATATTAGCGCTAAGAAAGCTTCGAAAATCTAGGCCCTGGATCGGATCGTAAGATCGGGACCGGCTACGATCGGCCTAAGATCGGTTAGTGGAACGGGTGTAACTTTTAGCTAAGACGATTGTAAAATTGGCGTAACTTGCTAAGATTGATCTTAGTTAAGATCGGTAAGTGGAACGGAACCCTGTTTAGGAAAGCAACAAAATCAACGAAAATGTTTCTTAGTTTGTCAAAATTGCTTCTCAAGTCTTTCTCATATTTTCTTAATGTCTGTAGATCCAATTCACCCTTCCTGATGTTGTCTATTTGCACAGCAACAACATGCCAAGCTGAGTCAAGTTTATCAGTAAAATCCTGTCTGTGTGATTCATATAAACTTTGACCTTTATCAGTTAATGTTCTTTTTCGCTTTTGATCGTCACCACTATCAAGAACTTCCTCACTATCAACAACTTGTGATGATGACTCATCCATATTTGAATCCGAAGGGTTACCCTCTGCTATTCATGTGTCTGTATATCAACACAATTCTTTGTAGATATGTTCATGAATAATGTTCATATCACTATTTCCACAGTCTGCTGGGTTTGTACCTGTCTCAACATAGTTCCACTGCTGTGGAGAAGAAAACTTTCTGATAGTTGCTACTCTGTTGGCTATGTACGCTTGAAATCTTCTTCATCTATACACCATTATAACATCATTACATATGCGATCAAAGGACAACATGATGCTTCACGCGGATGTTATACCGGGGAGGTCGAGAGATCAAGAGCACCTCTATTTACGTTCTCCAACATTCACTACTCTATCTCCAATGATATACTTTCTTTACACAGAAAACCGAGCTGTACAGGTATGCATGTAAGACGCTGTCAGGTGGCGGTGTCTCGAGGAACGTTGACGTTTCCCGGGAAATAGAAGTACTACGGTTGAATGAAGTGCAACACCTTTCCGGAACGATTAAAATTAGCATTTAACACGATCAGCCAGCTGTACACCTGCTGGTTCAGCATACACACAACAACCCAAGGGGAGTGTTCAGCTCAGACAAATTCAGGTCAGACACACATGAGTGATTGGAGATATAGTTCAGTCATGGTGAGGTTATCAGAGATTCGGCTCAGACATACGTGCGTGGGGTTATTTGAGATGCAGTTCCGACATGAATGAGGAGGTCAGAGATTCAGCTCAGACATACATAAGATGAGTGGAGTTCCACCTCAGACATGAGGTTATCAGAGATTCAGCTCAGACATACATAAGGTGATTGGAGATATAGTTCCGACATGAATGAGGTTGTCAGAGATTCAGCTCAGACATACATAAGGTGATTGGAGATATAGTTCCGACATGAATGAGGTTGTCAGAGATTCAGCTCAGACATACATAAGGTGATTGGAGATATAGTTCCGACATGAATGAGGTTGTCAGAGATTCAGCTCAGACTTACATAAGGTGATTGGAGATATAGTTTCGACATGAATGAGGTTGTCAGAGATTCAGCCCAGACATGCATAAGGTGATTGGAGATATAGTTCCGACATGAATGAGGTTGTCAGAGATTCAGCCTCAGACATACATAAGGTGATTGGAGATATAGTTCCGACATGAATGAGGTTGTCAGAGATTCAGCCTCAGACATACATAAGGTGATTGGAGATATAGTTTCGACATGAATGAGGCTGTCAGAGATTCAGCCTAGACATACACATACGGTGATTGGAGATATAGTTTCGACATGAATGAGGTTGTCAGAGATTCAGCTCAGACTTACATAAGGTGATTGGAGATATAGTTTCGACATGAATGAGGTCAGAGATTCAGCTCAGACATACATAAGGTGATGGAGATATAGTTCCGACATGAATGAGGTCAGAGATTCAGCTCAGACGTACATAAGGTGATGGAGATATAGTTCCGACATGAATGAGGTGGTCAGAGATTCAGCTCAGACATACATACGGTGATTGGAGATATAGTTTCGACATGAATGAGGTTGTCAGAGATTCAGCTCAGACATACATACGGTGATTGGAGATATAGTTCTGACATGAATGAGGGTTGTCAGAGATTCAGCTCAGACATACATAAGGTGATTGGAGATATAGTTCTGACATGAATGAGGTTGTCAGAGATTCAGCCTCAGACATACATAAGGTGATTGGAGATATAGTTCCGACATGAATGAGGTTGTCAGAGATTCAGCCCAGACATACATAAGGTGATTGGAGATATAGTTCCGACATGAATGAGGTTGTCAGAGATTCAGCTCAGACATGCATAAGGTGATTGGAGATATAGTTCCGACATGAATGAGGTTGTCAGAGATTTAGCCTCAGACATACATAAGGTGATTGGAGATATAGTTTCGACATGAATGAGGTTGTCAGAGATTCAGCTCAGACATACATACGGTGATTGGAGATATAGTTCCGACATGAATGAGGTTGTCAGAGATTCAGCTCAGACATACATAAGGTGATTGGAGATATAGTTCCGACATGAATGAGGTCAGAGATTCAGCTCAGACATACATAAGGTGATTGGAGATATAGTTCCGACATGAATGAGGTTGTCAGAGATTCAGCTCAGACATACATAAGGTGATTGGAGATATAGTTCCGACATGAATGAGGTTGTCAGAGATTCAGCTCAGACATACATAAGGTGATTGGAGATATAGTTCCGACATGAATGAGGATGTCAGAGATTCAGCTCAGACATACATAAGGTGATTGGAGATATAGTTCCGACATGAATGAGGTTGTCAGAGATTCAGCTCAGACATACATAAGGTGATTGGAGATATAGTTCCGACATGAATGAGGTTGTCAGAGATTCAGCTCAGACATACATAAGGTGATTGGAGATATAGTTCCGACATGAATGAGGTTGTCAGAGATTTAGCTCAGACATGCATAAGGTGATTGGAGATATAGTTTCGACATGAATGAGGTTGTCAGAGATTCAGCCTCAGACATGCATAAGGTGATTGGAGATATAGTTCCGACATGAATGAGGTTGTCAGAGATTCAGCTCAGACATACATAAGGTGATTGGAGATATAGTTCCGACATGAATGAGGTTGTCAGAGATTCAGCTCAGACATACATACGGTGATTGGAGATATAGTTCCGACATGAATGAGGTTGTCAGAGATTCAGCTCAGACATACATACGGTGATTGGAGATATAGTTCCGACATGAATGAGGTTGTCAGAGATTCAGCTCAGACTTACATAAGGTGATTGGAGATATAGTTCCGACATGAATGAGGTTGTCAGAGATTCAGCTCAGACGTACATAAGGTGATGGAGATATAGTTCCGACATGAATGAGGTTGTCAGAGATTCAGCTCAGACATACATAAGGTGATGGAGATATAGTTCCGACATGAATGAGGTTGTCAGAGATTCAGCTCAGACATACATACGGTGATTGGAGATATAGTTTCGACATGAATGAGGTGGTCAGAGATTCAGCTCAGACATACATAAGGTGATTGGAGATATAGTTCCGACATGAATGAGGTTGTCAGAGATTCAGCTCAGACATACATAAGGTGATTGGAGATATAGTTCCGACATGAATGAGGTTGTCAGAGATTCAGCTCAGACTTACATAAGGTGATTGGAGATATAGTTTCGACATGAATGAGGCTTGTCAGAGATTCAGCCTCAGACATACATAAGGTGATTGGAGATATAGTTCCGACATGAATGAGGATTGTCAGAGATTCAGCTCAGACTTACATAAGGTGATTGGAGATATAGTTCCGACATGAATGAGGTTGTCAGAGATTCAACTCAGACGTACATAAGGTGATGGAGATATAGTCCGACATGAATGAGGTCAGAGATTCAGCTCAGACATACATAAGGTGATGGAGATATAGTTCCGACATGAATGAGGTTGTCAGAGGTTGTTTAAACCACAAAACAAGTGCCATACACTGCTGCGTTTACATATACACTTACCGTGAAGGCGAAGTGAAGGAATTATCTGTGTGAATGAAGACTTACCTCCTATACTGTATCGTCAATCTTCGCCTTGCAGTGAATCAGTTTGAAGTTGACCGTCTCCGTGATGTATTTATTATTCTATATCCACTGACAGATCACTCGCCCACGTACACGGAAACATTTTGCTATAATTACTCCATATCGACAGTACTGGTGAGGCCCACAGTGCGGGAAGCTTAACAACTGACCTGTAAATATCTGCGTGCATGTGTATAGAGTATGTTTCAGTGGTCTAGTATGTAACACGATAACATAAGCGAGATTGTTTACCTCTTATGTCATAGTGACCTTCACCACGAATCTGCCTAATGCAATGGGTGGGTGAGGTGAGGTGAGGTTGCGTTCAAGATCAGTGCACATTTCTGTAGAGACGGGTGTGTGCGGTGCGTGCGTGTGTACGCGTTTGTCGGCTCAGTATACTGTGTCTGATCGGGGGTATTCGTGTAAAACAGTGGCATGGTATCTCAGCGGACCAGGGCCCCGTTTCACCAAGCTCTCATAGGTCTAAAATCTCGTAACTTTTCTCGAAGCATCAATAGTTTCTATGTTACAGTATAGGAGGTACAAATGCTACGAGAAAAGTTACGAAATCTTAGGCTTACGAGAGCTTTGTGAAACGGGACCCAGGGCCTAGATTTTCGAAGCTCTCTTAGCGCTAAGATAGTCGCAAGTTTATGTGAACCATAAAAGCGGCGCAAGTCCGGACTATTGGAAAAGAAGTTACACCCACGCGCGCACGCACCTACATGCGCATGCACGTCACTGTGTAAATACACTGAATAATCTTGAACACCGATTTCACCCCACCATACCTATGAGTTATTGTCATGGTTTAGCGCCGCTTTGAACAGCATGCCAATAAATATTGTGATGTGTCATCTCACGAGATATTTGAGCGAAACAGGGGCGGTGGTGTAGCCGAGTCGGAAGACCCGGGTTCGATTCCCAACATGGGTACAATGCGTAAAGCCCATTTCTGGTGTCAAACGCCGTGATATTCCCGGAATATTGCTAATAGCGGCGTAAAACTAAACTCGCTCACTTACTCGAACATTGTTTTTCCGATAAAATCCCATAACACGATGTTCTTTAATAGTTTTGTCCGAATATTATTATAATGTGACAAAATTGTGATGTTGAAGTTAATTCGGACTATGGACAAATCGATTGTCCTTACTCTTCATGGTGAAGCGTGTCACTTGGATCTGTAAAAGAAAAGTGTTTTAAAGAGCTTGAATGGAACAGAGATGGGATTTCGAAGACCCGGGTTCGATTCCACACATGGGTACTATGTGTGAAGCCCATTTCTGGTGTTCTCCACCGTGATGTTGCTGGAATATTGCTGAAAGCAGCGAAAACTAAAACAACTCACTCACTCACTTTCATGGTCGTGCGTTCATGATCAGATGAATCGCATCCATCCACGGGCTATATGCAAAGGCATTTTTAAATTGTTAAAAACGCAAATTGTACAAAATAATTTCTTCAACATGTACATGTAAATAGCTTTAGCCAAAGGTTCCGGGTGGTACGCAAAACACAGACGAGTGACAAAGTGACAATTTTTCGAGTGCCTCGCTCATGGTCCAAAATGACGAGAATTCAACATTTCACATTCAGGCGGCTATCAGCAGCATTAGAGGCTCAACATTTACATAATTGTATACATCTTCATATATATACTGAAAGGCAAAAGAAATGTCGTAATATTGGAAATGACATTTAACTATCAGTGGAATATTTGAACCTATTTTTTTTAAATATTACGCCACTGAAATGCAGTACCGGCTTTCATCAGAGAAGCTAACGACTCTCCATTGTCCCTCACGACAGTTTTGCCGCTGTTGTGTCCACTTGGAGACGTTCCCGGCGGTGACGTTGGGTGAATATGGGTTTCCTGGCAGGACGTCGACAAAACAGGTTCCTGAATTGGAGACGTCGCCGAATGGTTCGGTCACTGACTGGTCGCTGGTGGTTTCCTATGGTCACCCAAGCTGTTTCTCTGGCCCTTGCGAATAGGTCTTGCACGTGTTGATGGACGATATGACGGTCCTGGCGACGTGTTGTTACACGGGGTTGACGGTCATCAGTGCTGCTGGTGGAGTTGTATCGCACTCTAAGACGTTCTATCGTTCGTACGCTGCAATTGAAGTCATTAACAATGACTCGAGCATGTTGACCAGCGTGTGGACGTTCAATGGCTTGTTGTGGTTGATCTCTCGTTAACCTAGTCATAGCTGCTGTGTTCAGAAAACAAGTAAACGACTGCCATTCAAGCCGGCAATTTATGCCTGAAGGCATTTATGATGCACGTGCATCTCGATTTCAATGTTGTGTTTGTGGGAACTCTTCTCTCTCCAAAAACAAAAACATTTCTAACCTCAATCTCAAACAATACTTTATTGGGCAATGCAGGCTATACGACCACGATTCATGTTTCCTCAAACTTGACTTCCGGTGTACATGTATATTTTAAAAAAGTAGGTTCAAATACTCCATTGATACTCAAATGTCATTTCCAATATTACGACGTTTCTTTTGCCTATCAGTATAGTTATACAATGTGTATCAACTAGTGTCGGGAATTGGTTAAAATCTAATAATTGATGATTGGTCCATTACAACTGATCAATCATCGAAAACAATTGGTTAGCGTCATTTATCAAATGTTCCTGTTATTTTTGCTAATGAACACAAACGATAAAGAAAAAACATGTAGTAATTTGGTTTTCTTGCAAATTGCATAAAGTCCATTTGCAAATTTTGCATATTTAAATGATCATTAGTATGTTAGGAACACATATTTTCTTGATGCTTTAAGATAAATTCAATCATGACTCGGAACGAGCTTGTAGTGCTTATGAAATGTAAATTTAATGATACAGACAAAACCATCCCTGTGAAAGATATTGGTAATGCAAACAAGTGTTCCAAGATCGGTCGTGTTCGATTACGAGAAAACATGTTCGATTGCTTGGTCGTTTAGTCACTGCGAGCAATCTTCGATTATTTCAATTAATCGGACCACCACTAGTATCAACAACTTCACCGGGCAGTGAGTACATAGTCTGTATTACAATATACAATTACGAAACATGATGCTTGGTTTACATGGTAACATAATGGTTTTACACATTTTGGATAATTTCTAGTTTTCGACAAAAAAAAGTAAATCAATTTTTAGCAAGTTCGATTTGTGTAAAACAATTGATGGGGGGTATGTTTATTCTAACGCGTTATTGTCACGGAACCTGCGTATTTGCTTTGTGTTTGAGGAAAATAGTCTCAGGTGTAATTGCATACTATATTCATAAGGACAAATTAACTATAGGATAAATCTTCCAGACCCAGACCTGATAATTATTTACTGCTGTGTTTTTCGTGAACGTAGCTGGTATATAAAAGTCGTGAAGATCTGGAATAGAATTGTACCTCGATTACCCAAGTTTGTCGTAACAGGCGACTAACGGGTGGTCAGGCTCGCTGACTACGTCTTGGTTGATGCATGGAATCCATGGTACCTTGATCTAAGTACATGATTTCAGTCGCAATAGTAAAACGCGCCATAACAAATTGCATGACCATCCTACTTAGACATTGACACTCACTCACGCACACACGCAGGCACATACACGCGCACGCCCGCACACACACGTATATATAGAGCGCCCAATAGCCACCTTAAAGATGCTCAGTGGCCAGGGACATCATCATTTTACTCGGTTAACCCAACCTGTCTGTGGAGGGAGGATCGTTAAAGAATTCCCAGTTGAAAATAAATATAAACAGTTGCAGTTTAAGATTTTACATTTTCTAATACCACATTATGTATATCTTAACAAAATTGATATTAAGGAAAATGATTTACATGTATGTGAAAAATGTGGAGAAATAGATTCTGTGAGGCATTACGTGTTTTATTTTCGTTTAGTATTACCCTTTTGGATTTCCATTTTCATGTGGGAAAAGATTCATGTTGAAAATAGCGTATATGGAAATTATAGAGATGTTGCTTTATATGGTGTCAATGGAATTTCAGAAAACTTTAAACTGATGAATCACTGGTAAAGCTAGCTAAATTTAGTATATAGGTGTAACGTGACTGGAATTATTGTATGTTTGATATATTTAAAAGGGATCTGTTATTACGGGTATAAATAGGAAAAACCCCAGCCAGTCTGCTAACACTGAATTGAAGTTTCAAATATTTTACTATGTACAAATGCATATGTTTTCAGACACTGTCATGTATTCATGCATACAAGTGCAGTTAAAAACTGCAATTGAGATTATGTATCAGTTTCATCTGGAATAATGCTGCTGAAAAAATGTCTGTTGAGTGCTAGAAGGTTAAAAGTCACGTGACCAGCTTAATTGCCCCGGGTATCCATTTTCTGCTGGGTGAACAGAGACAATTGTGAACAAACTCACTTGCCTATGGTGAGACCATGTGTACTGTCACTTGTGCTTCTTTGTGGGGCAGGACTGAAGTCCTAGAAACTCTCAGGAATCAAATGGCCAAACGCGGTCACCGTTCCAAGGACTCTACATGACCAACTTCAACTTCAACTGATTTGTGAGCTGGACCCTATATATGCACAAGACCACATACCACCGCATTAATAACCAACCTTCCTGTTTCAAGTAGTACCATAGTCTATAGAATCTACATTAATGGGGCAGTCCTAATCTCAGGCGGCTCTCACTGGGCAGAGTTGCCTCCCCTGGATGTGCTTGCGAACTAACCCAGAGCGTTGGTTCGAACTCTAGATTCAATCCGGTAATCAGTCTAGATTTGTCGCCACCATACCTACGCCACCATACCAAAGTGGAAAACGTCAACTTCCATATTTTCTGCAAATCTGGACATCTCATGCAATGATATTAGAATTCACTTTTTAAATGTTGGGAAAACATTTTTTAAATATTTTATACGGTTAGATCAGCAAAATACTACCACCACCCCCAAAATAAAAAATAATAAAAATATATAACATATAACTGTTGGTTTTAATTTTATGAATAGGCCCGTGTAAAGAGAGTAGCAGAAGAAACTACCTCGCAGTTCGTTTCATTGTACGTTTGATTTTCAGCTGAATGTATATATCTTGAATCAGCAATAATCGTGTAGTCAGCACTAAAAATATATTCCTATATGTTTTATAAATACAATTTGATTTATTGATTTTATTGATCTGTTAAAACGTTTATAATTTTAAAAATCTCCTTATGCACAACTGCGGATGAGTATCTTCGCCATCTTATCCTTGAAAATAAACGGTAAACATAATATGGGTAAGCTGGTTGCAAATTCACTTTTTATCCCTGCCATTATGGGACCAAAATATATTTTGTACACAGAACTGCCCATCCATAGAGTACTTTTTACAAACTGTTACGGGGACGACATTTTGTTAAAGAGACATAACATATTATCACTATACTTCACATATATAGAGATGTGTTTTTACTTCAGACCAAAAAAAGTTAGTAAAAGGCCATATGAACAAAATGTTACTCTAATTGCAAATATAAACACGAGACATATTGATTTCGTCAAAACTTGGTACATTCTACATAAACGCGCAAGTGCAACGACCTTGTATAACGAGTTTAGCTTTCGAGCACCTTAAAAACGAGAATCAATGGTGCGAAATATTTGCCGGAATTATTATATATAATTTGTTCTAGTCAGTGTCACTGACCATAGGACTCGATGCTTTTGTCACACAAAATCAATACATTATTTTATAATGGCAATAACATCGATTTCAACTTGCAGTTCTAAATATATCTGTATTTCTGATTTCGTTTTTGTCATGAACGACGTTTTCGTGAATTGTCATCTATTATGGCTGCTTCCGTGTTAGGATTTTGTGAGAGTTTATTCACATGAAATATCTTACGAAATGGAAGAACATGACGTAAATCCATATTCGTGACGATAGCAATCATTAAATGAAGTGTACGTCCGTGTGCATGGGAATGCACCATGCCATTCTTTAGACGGAAAACAGGTAAACACTGCCTCTTGAATTCAATCGGTAGGCGTTTCTCGTGTATGTCACCTGTGTCACAGGTCATTTGTTGATCAGCGTTCAAATGAAATCTCTCTCTTTTTAAATCACGCCTTTGATGACATATATTTGGAGGATTATTGATCCATGCAGACAGTTATTACTTTGTTTAGATCTATTTCTTATTGAGAGCATTTGAGACTCTATTTTGATTTCATGTGTTCATTTTGACTGTTGAAAGGCATGTTAAAAATGTAGGCCTAAATTGAGAGCCAAATATTTGTTTCTTGACATACCTTGTGACTATAGGTTTTGATGTCAGTGAAAATATTCACTGAGCCTTTCAACAATAGCCCATATTTTTCTTTTAGAACAAACATGATAAATACAGTGTGTCCACATACAGAGATTTATCCAGGATTTAGAACTAACTACTCCTGCATGCGTGTCATTATTGTTTCAATTATTTCTGGGGAGCAAGTTCTTATCTTCTTAAATACCGATGTGTCTTAACACTGTATGATAGATTGCATTCAATGCAATATTTACACAACTAAGCATCAAAACACTTCCTTATTTATCATTAGTCCTTTTATCAGTGAAATACATGTTTTCTGTTCAAAGATGTAAAATTTATTATTAGTTGCTACTTTAATTTAGAAAGTTGCAAATCCAATTTGGGAATCACACTTCCTGTTTACTAGGTGCCAACTATCTGTCTCTGAGCAGGTCAAGATATATCCCTGACATAGCTTACTTTGCAGGCCCCTGGCATTGATCACTGATCATTTGCTAAAAAGTAAGGAAAATCCTTTCAGGGATTTGTCTACACAATCTTATGTTTGGCTCCAATTTTGTAATAAATTTCATTTAAAGATATCCCAATTCAGGCTATGTTACTTTTACTAAACATTTAATAACTTTGAGTTTGTTAATCGGTTTCATGTTGTTACAGGGTATGGTTTCATGTTGTTACAGGTATGTTGGAATACTTCTAAAGGAAGGAATGAACAGTACAAAACTTGTCAATTTTGAAAACAATTTCCCAATATGTAGACCATGGACACAGTGTTTAAGATCTTTTGAAAAATTCCTGTTCAAATTCATCAGCCTGTGAGAAGTGTTATTTGGTTTAAACATATTTTATTCTATTCAAGAAGAAAGAAAAGGATTGGCAAACAAGCATAAATGGCTTATATTAATGCCGCTCCATAATACATGTGAAGGTTCACATTTGTGCATAATACATATTTATAGTGGTTATAACAAGTTATCTCTGAATAATAACAATCATGGATATCAACAATTTATCTTGGTTTTGTTTCGTGGCCAGTTGATGGACTGACCGTAGAATATCCATATTAGTCTGATGAGATACTGAGTTATTGCCATTTAGCACATCCCGCAGGGAGAACCCTTTCACATAGAAATAAGATTCGTATCGAGTGGTATTATATTTAGGACACATGAAAAAATAGTGGAATACATCCTCATAATCTTGTGAGCAGGAACAAGAAGCATTATCAGAAATGAAACGATTATACTTATCACTGTTTAAGTCACTGCATCCCAATCTAAGGCGGCAGTGTATTATTTGACAAAATCGACTACCAAAATTTAGATCGAACATTGTGTTGGTATTAACTTGTGGTGTGATTGAATTCTTAAACTGTCCAACAGAGGAAGCGTTTGTAGCATTTGTAGGTAGGTCATTCCACAGTTTAATTGTATCGGGCAAAAACGATTTGGCGTAATTAGCAGATTTGCATCTTATAGTCTGATAATTTTCATTATTCCTAAGATTGTAGTTACTGTTATCAGAAACATTCCCTGGAGCAAGATCACAAAGATAGTCAGGAACCATATGGTTTACCATTTTGTAAAATAATGTTAATTTAAAAGTTTCTCTCCGTTTCGATAAGGAAGTCATGTTTGTCTCATGATATAGTTTCGCATGGCTTGTACCTCTAACTGCACATGATATTGTGCGTAAGGCATCTAAGTGAAGGTTTTCTAGTGACAAGGACTGTTCCTTTGTACAATTGTCCCAGAGATGACAGCAATAGTCAAATAGAGGTAAGATAAAGGATTTATACATTGTTTTGAGAGTTTTGCGTGATAGTCTATATTTAAAACTACGAAGGCAGTTAATCATAGGGCTAATTTTGCTTATCATTTCATTAATGTGGGAATGCCAGAGGAGGTTTTCCTGAAAAATAATGCCTAGGCGTTTATGAATCTGCACTTCATTTATAGGTGTACCATTCATCGAGGTTTCGTTTTGTGTGAAAACTGGATAGTTTCAGTTTTGTTTGGATTAAATTTTACTTGCCAGGTTTCCGCCCATTTAGATATTCTGTCTAAATCTGAGTTAAGAAGTATTATAACACAATTATATTTTATAAGCTACAAAGGAAATAATTATGACAGATAGAAATAGGGACTGGCAGGGCCATGTTTGTTTGAAACGTCTAACAAGCAGCACAGAAATATTACATATTCGTGTCTGAAGCAAACAAATGATGGCCAAAACAAGTGAGAATGCTCTTGTTAGGTTTAATCTGATTAAACTTCAATTTTACCTTCAATCATAGTTGTTGGTATAGAGGCATTATAGAATATCTCTGTACTTTAAAAACTTGTGCAGTTGGAAACTACTAGTACTTGATTCACACTGTTTAATCAGAGTTTCAAATCATAGTAATTGTTGTTCACAATGTTACCATGGTTACCATCACAGCCACATTTCCACAGAAGCTATTAATTCATAGAAAATCAATACAGTTTCAAGTATAGTCAGTAGGCCTTTTGAAATAAATATGTGTATATGTGGGTTACAATGTGCAGAGTTGCTTTTTGGCAAACTCTGTTCCAAATAATTTGAGTGAGGTTATATTCTGCAGGTGCCTTACTAAAATACAAGTTGTCATGTTATTAATATTAATGTGTTGTCACAAAAATGCCACTGTATCCTTGGTCACAATGTTGCATTGTCATATATTGAAACGGCTGCAATAATTAGAGCTTTCTATTGAAAATAATATGATTCATTATTCATGTGTAGATTTATTTCCCTGTTTTCACAGATAAGGCTAAAGCTGAGCCGCCGACGCCATTGACTGTCCCCACAGCAACGCCAGGAGGGGCAACTGTGAAGCGGACTCCGTCAAACCGCAGCGATCACAGCCCGATTACACCCAACTCTTTAAATGGAGATATTGGTAGATAGATAATTCCTCCTTGTTGTTTTTGGTGCCTAGTGTTTTGTGGGTGTTTGAAACGTATATTAATTTTTGGGTTAAAATCATGTTTGAGATTATTGCTCCTAGTAGTGAAATGCATGCATTTGTGTGTATGTTCTTGCTTGTACCAATCTGGATTAATCCCTGTTCTGTAGTACCAGCCAACTGATATATCATGCTACAGTTTTTCATGGATACCCTACTCAGATACTATACTGACCAACCAGAACTTTTTATTGGTGCTGATTATGGCTCACAATATGCAAATTGATAATCACTATCAGAGCTCAGTAACCAATCAATAATCAGTTGTAATCGTAAACCCCTACCACTAAACTCATGTGGGCAGTAACAGGACAATCATCATGATCATATAACATTTTGCAAACAAAACAGGCACCGATTTATACCACTATCAAGACATTCAAGGATACTTCTCGAGGATGTTGTTTACAGAGCCCCAGATAAGATTTAGCTCGTGTGGGTACTGTACCCACTGTATTTTTTTGGAGTGGGTATTATGAATGTTGAGTGGGTATTTCATTTTCCGTTACCCACTGCTTTCAAATATGTGCGTATTTCAGTCATTTTACTCACCTAAGTATATGTCATTGAGTAAGTTTACTAAGCAGGTATGTTCTGCCTTATGTAATACCTAATCAAAACCAACTTTAATATAATGGTAATGATTTCATAAATATCACTCATCCTGTACTGATAGTACAACACTAGTCCTATACTAACAGTACAACTTGATACAAATCGATGTTTTTTTTCATTACGCAAGCAATTTTTATAAATATGCCGTACACATTTGTTTTAAACTTTTTGCGTATCTAACATTTTAAATGCGTAATATGTATGCAACAATTATTTTTCAATGCGTAATTGGAAATTTTCTATGCGTATTTTACCCGGATACGCAGCTTATCTGGGCCTCTGACTTCTTGTTGAGACACGTGCTCGAGGATGTTGTTTACATTGTAGTTTTACAAGTCAGGAAACTGCATCAGTTGTTTATGTCTTGATTTAACAAACATAACAATAATAAATATACCAGAGGCACAGATAAGCTGCGTATCTACGTAAATTACGCAAATATTTATGTGAAAACTCAATTCCTATTAAGTCTATTGCGTACAAGTACGCTTGAATTTTTGTAAATACTCAATAAATGTGATCTTACACGCGTACACACAAAAATGTCAAATCTTAATATGCGTACCGGTGGATAGATACTGTAACTGAGGTATACTGAGAGGTTCTATTTCAGGATATGAACTTGACAACTTGCAGTTTTCCTTATCACTTCTCATATTACAGATCAAATATAAATAAAAAACACTCAAATTTAAACGTTATTATATTTTTAAATTATTGGAAAATGGCAAAATACCCAATTGAGTTTGAGTGAGATGAGTACAATGTATTTGGTTACTCAAAGGAAAATTAGGATACCCAATTGAGATGAACACAAGCGAGTACATAACTCAATGACCCAAAAAGTTATCTGTAGCTCTGATATACATTCCAACATTTGAGTGAGTGAGTGAGTTTACTTTTATGCCGCACTCAGCAATATTCCAGCTATTTGGCGGCGGTCTGGACCAGACAAACCAGTGATCAACAGCATGAGCGTCGATCTTCACAATTGGGATACAATGACATGTGTCAACCAAGTTTGCGAATCTGACCACCCAATCCCGTTAGTCGCGTCTTATGACAAGCATGGGTTACTAAATTCATGGGTCCTGTTTCATATTTTATGAATATAGATTAGTGTCCCGAGCACATCGATAGTGACTGATGCAAGTGGGATCGATTGATCCAGCACTACTAGGTACACTCCATTATAACACTAAGCACTAAACATCTGTTAATGCCGTTTGTAAAGAAAGGTCAGGGATTGAACCACAGACCATCCACTCTCTTTGTAGATGCTTTATCCACTACACCAAGGAGGCAGTCCCTACAATTTTTGAATTGATTCAATGCTTGTAGGGTGATTTCCTGTAGTTTGGTATTGAAGTTGGGTTAGAAAGTACTTCTCACCAGATAGCATTCAGAAAAGCGTTAAACTCAACGCTGGCAATGGTTTTGTAACATTGCCAACGCTTCAATGCTTGTAGGGCCAAGGTCTGAATGCTATCTGGGTAGGAGCTTGGCTATTACTATGGCTGATACAGTACATTGTATCGCATAGAAAATACTGGTTCACGTTGTCATGACAGTATGAGAATGCGATATGTTGTTGCAAACCAATACAATCTGAGGCAACGCATACAGAAGTCATGATGCAAGTGAGTGAGTTTGGTTTTACGCCGCTTTTAGCAATATTCCAGCAATATCATGGTGGGGGACACCAGAAATGGGATTTACACATTGTACCTATGTAGGGAATCAAACCCGGGTCTTTGGGGTGATGAGCGAACACTTTAACCACTAGGCTACCCCACCAACTCCCTGATGCAAGTACTGAACACTGACTACTTGTAGGTGGCTAAATTTTTGTCTACTTCATCATGTTCATTCATTCAATCAGCGCTTTCCTCTCTGACAGTTGTCAGCTACAAGTGATGTGAGATGAGGTGAAATGGGGTTTAAATTCATATTTAAGAATATTTCGCTCATATCACGACGTGCATGTGTGGCTGTTTGTACTAGCCCAGACTTAAGCTGGTTTTATAGTGCTAGCTCACTGAGATACCATGCCGCAGTTAAGCATGAATACCCCACTCAGACACATTATACTGACTCCGAGCCGACCAGTCCTTGTTTCACCCATTCATGCCGAGCGCCAGGCAAGGACCAACAAGTACCATATGTTAACGTCTTTTGGTATGACGCAGTCGGGGAACGAACCCGCGACCTTCCGCTCTCCGGGCAGACGCTCTAGCCACTACACCATGGAGGCGGTCAGCTGCAACGAAGAAAATGGGTACCCTGATGGATAAGTCGTGTGACTATAACCTTCTAGCACCTAACAGGCAGCTTGGGTTATCCAGGTTAACAATGTGCTGTGCTATTCATTGTTAGCGCTATGAACATACCTGGTGTGGAGTTTGGCGCTATATCAGGGCTCCAGATAAGGGCCGTATTGGCGTATGTACGGATAAAAAACATTCACGATACGGTAGGAAATAATTTAGAAAACGTAGCAGATACGCACCACAGCAATGGTGTACGGTCTTAGAATCATTTACAGACGTATTTATCTGAAAAAGTATTATTTTATTGTTTATTGACCTGTTTACACAAGAGTAGCATTGTTGTGGTGCATATATGAAACGAAACACAAGATTACTGATACTCCATTAAATTCCACGCAGTACTCTAAATGTACTCTTAAGGTTCTTAAGCGACTATGCTTGTGGTAAGAGGCGACTAACGGGATCGGGTGGTCAGGCTCGCTGACATGACTGACACATATCATCGGTTCCCAATTGCGCAGATCGATGCTCATGCTGTTGATCACTGGATTGTCTGGTCCAGACTCGATTGTTCACAGACCGTTGCCATATAGCTGGAATATTGCTGAGTGCGGCTTAAAACTAAACTCACTCACTCACTCACTTAAGATTTTCCAGTAGTCCCATGTTGAAAATATAAGGAGTACGTACTCCTGATGTTGAACAATTATCTGGAGCCCTGTATATAAACGGACACAATATTAGTTGTGCTGTCCCTGGTGAACTGTGTCAGTGATGTACACTCATACAGCTTGACTTGATGTGCTGTGTTGTTGTAGGTGTGCCAGAAACGATGCTTGATGGAGGTGTCGCGGGGAAGAAGAGACCCACGAGTCTGCTGTTACAGTCAGCATCACAAGACTCTCAGACAGGTGAGATATAGAGTTGTTTATGTGGATGTCAGACAGGTGAGATATAGAGTCATTTACCTCTCACAGTCAGGTGAGATATAGAGTTATTTATGTGGATGTCAGACAGGTGTGATATAGAGTTGTTTATGTGGATGTCAGACAGGTGAGATATAGAGTCATTTACCTGGATGTCAGACAGGTTAGATATGCTCATTTACCTGGAAGTCAGACAGGTGAGATATAGTCATTTACCTGGATGTCAGACAGGTGAGATATAGAGTCATTTACCTGGAAGTCAGACAGCTGAGATATAGTCATTTACCTGGTTGTCAGACAGGTGAGATGTAAAAAAACAACAGGTGAGACGTGATGTCAGTTACGTAAATCTCAAGCAGTTTTTTAAAGGCATTTAGAAGTTGGATGAACATACATGACACGTTTTATGGATACCAACTTCTTTTTTATTCTTTACACGACGCTTCAGAGCTAATTCATTTTCACCTGATGAAGGAGCAAGAATTAGCTCTGAAACGTCATGTAGAGAATAAAAAAGAAGTTGGTATCCATAAAACGTGTCATGTATCCATAAATCTCAGGCATGTGAGATATTTTGATTAGAACACTGTGCAGAAGATTTTAATCTCTATATTTACTACAGTGTTGACATGATTGCTCGGTAACATAGTAATTTATACAAAGCAAGCTGAAATACAGTTAGGGTTGAAAATAATCACATACCGGTAGTAGAGATATTTTTAGAATTATAGTTACATAAGTTATGAAAGGGACCTCTTGACTGCCTGATGTCATGGGATTATGTAGTGCCATTCATTGTTGCCAGGTGTACAAGGTCCTGCATCACCCATGCGGACTTCGTCACGACTGTCAAAGACTCTGAGGGAGATGCTGCACGATCAAAATGGTGTGGCCTGCTTCCTCTATTACATGAAGGCACAGAAAGCAGGGAACCTCATCCAGTTCTGGCTGGACGCCGAAAGCTTCCATGCATCGACTGTGATGCGAGTGAGAACGCACTCTTTGAATTCCGTCGCTTGTAACCATGGCAACACACATGTCTCTACCAAAGATATTCAGACTGACTCACAGGATGACACTTCACGAGTGCAAGACGTAGGAAGTATATCAGTCCCAAGTGTAAATAGTGGTGTGGACAGCAGTGTAAATAGTGGTGTGGAAAGTTGTTTAAATAGTGCTGTGGAAAGTAGTGTATATAGTGCCACAGGCAGTGATGATCAAGAGGGAAGATCCAATGATCAAGGCATGACTGCAGAATCCGGGCAACACGAACCCGGTCAACAAGACAGTGTGTTTAGTGCTAGTGACCCTGCTCAGAGACTCAGTGATCCGACTGCTGGCCCCGGGGGTGCTGGGACAGCAGGGAGGGAGGACACAGGGGGGTGGGGGTAAGGAGGGGGTGGTGGCTGGAGGGGGTAGATCTCCAGATCAAGTGGACACAAGCAGGGGTAATGCAGGACTTTCAAAACAAGACTTGAAGGAGAAGTTGAAAAAAAGTAAGTCAGTTTTGGCATTGATTTAATAACTCTTTCTGGAGTGAATGAGTGAGTGAGTTGAGTTTTATGCTACTTTTAGCAATTTTCCAGTAATATCACAAATGGGTTTCACACATTGTACCCATGAGGGGAATCGAACTCAGACCTTTGGCATGAAGAGCGAACGCTTTAACCTCTGGGCTACCCCAACCACCCTTCTTTTTATAAAATAGAAATCAAAATGTTGTTTGATTTTATTGAAAATGTGAAATAATATACAACATGCTAATTTGCTTTTGTGGTTTCAAATATACAGTATTGTTTATGGAATGTCATGTTGTCTCAGGTATACAACATGATGCCGTCACAATATTCACCAAGTACATATCCCAAGATGCAACACACCCTATTGGTATCACCGAGCAGATCCGCAATGAGACGATACGTGAGTAATGCGGTTGTTCCTCATTTCGTAAATATTGCATGTTTGGGAATGTATACAACATGTTTATGATTATTTTGAAGTGCAACTGTGGAACAATCACAAAAAAATGGCTGAATATCCGGTTTAACTTTTGTGTTTAATGGAGAATTACAGCTATGAAGATTCCAAGTTAGAACAGGTGTTTGGGAGAGGCTTGGTTGATTTTGTTTCATTGTTTTGAATGTTTGTTTATTGATTTACACCGCAATATTCCAGCTATATGGCAACAGTCTGTAAATAATCAAGTCTGGACCAGACTATCCAGTGATTGACATCATGAGCTTCGATCTATGCATTTGGGACACGACATGTGCAGTGGTGGAAATAACCCTTTGCCCGAAGCCCCAGTCCAGTGTTTTTTTCTGTCGGGCTAGCAAATTTGTATGTCACGCTGTACCCGTGTCCAGTTGACTTTCCAATGTTAATTATGTTGTTTATTTAAAAAATCAACAAGAAACCCGCCCGGTATAGTGGAAGAATTATCAGGGCAAGTGATTTTACATGTGCCACTGTACCGCGAGTACACTAGCAATTTTAAAGTTATTTCCACCCCTGATGTGTCCACCCTCACAACATGGATAGTTGCTCATAATATCAATCACTGGATTATCTGGTCCAGACTGGAGTGTTTGTCATCCGTCTTCATATAGCTGGAATATTACTCAATGAGGTATTGATGGTATAGTCCAAGAATTGAATAATATATCGATATTAACATTTGTTTTTTTAATTTTATAATGTATTTTTTGTCTAAATTTGTCTAACTTGTCTACTAATATTATTAGTTTGGGCTCCAAAATAAGATCATGTCTTCAGTTACCATGGTTAAGCTTCTCTTGTTTCCAGGACGTATATGTAAGGAGGATGGTCACGTAGATCCGGACTGCTTCGTAGACTGCCAGGAGTTTGTCTTTCACAAGATGGGGAAGGAGTGAGTGCTTCAGAATGTTTACCTTAACACTTGTTTGTTTGTTTAATGCCGCACTCAGCAATCGGCAATATTCCAGCAATTGTTTGTCAATAATCGAGTCTGAACCAGACAATCGAGTGATCAACATCATGAACATCTATTTGCGCAATTGGGATACAATGACATGTATCAACCAAGTCAGGCGAGCCTGACCACCCAATCACCTCTTATGACAAGCATGGGTTGCTAATGACCAATTCTATCTCGGGACTTCATGGGGGCGATTGAGGAGCATTTTTACAGCAATACTAAGAATTTTTAATGTTGACAAATGTTAAAATGTTAATGAAGGCTGGCAGTCAGTCGACACCAAGGGAACAATGACACCATTACTCAGACTATTCAAACTCATTTGCCCCATGAAGGTCCGGGTTAGAATTGATCTTCAGTAACCCATGCTTGTCGTAAGAGGCGACTAACGGGATCCCTGGATTGTCTGGTCCGGACCTGATTATTTACAGACCACCGCCATATAGCTGGAATATTGCTGAGTGTGGCGTAAAACAAAACTGATTCACTCAAACTCATTATATGTGTACTTTGTTGACTTTGCCGACTATGAACACTAGAGTTTTGTAACATGAACTGAGACCACTTAGACCACTGAAACATCCTTCTCTCCATCAGCTGTACCACGGTGGTGGGGTAGTCCCTATTCGTTAAGGCATTCACTTGTCACGCCGAAGATGTGGGTTCGATTCAACACTTAGGTACAATGTGTGAAGCCCATTTCTGGTGTCCCCCACCCTGATAATGCTGGAATATTGCTAAAAGCGGCATAGAACTAAACTCACTCACTCACTCCTCTGTTCCAGGTTCTACTCTGGGTTTCTGGACAGTGAGTATCACTGCAAACACCAGGTGGACGTCCTGACTAGCGGCAAGGTCTACCTCGCCGACGTCCTCTACAACGAGCTGGCTCTGTCCTACTTCATGGAGGTGGGCACATACTCCGAACATCTTCAAACTTGGTCCTTGTGTTGCAGATCAGAAATATTCCCGCTTCCAGAGATGTTGCCTGTTTTCTCTTTTTGTTTTGTTATACATTAATATGCTTGATATGGGATATGAGGTAAAATGTCCAAGAAACAGTTGTCTGCATTCATTTGATTTGAGACATAGTCATCTGCAACAAACAGAATTTTACACAAATTAAATATTTCTGGTGCATTCCCTCTATTTCTGGTTCAAAACCTCTAATTCAGGTGTATTCCTTCTAATTCTGGTTTGTTCCCTCAAATTCTTGTTTATTCCCTCTAATTCGGGTTCATTCCGTCTAATTCTGGTTCGATGTGACCAGTTTCTCCTTGTCTGCCTCAGTTCTGGACACTGAAGACGCTTGTCACCAACTGCAGCATTGTAAACATCTGTTAAATGCATCACTTTGAGCTCTCTACCCACATCAAGTTTACATATAATGAATGACATACAAGAAACACTGTTGAAAGTGGCTTTTAGCCCAGTTCATTCCTTCTAATTCTGGTTTGTTCCCTCAGATTCTTGTTTATTCCCTCTAATTTGGGTTCATTCTCTCTAATTCTGGTGCTTTCCCTCTAATTCGGATTCATTCCCCTCTACTTCTGGTTCATTCCCTCTACTTCTGGTTCATTCCCTCCAATTCTGGTATGTTCCTTCAAATTGTGGTTCGATGTGACCTTGACCCAGTTTCTCCCTGTGTGACCCAGTTCCTGGACACTGAAGACGCTTGTCACCTACTACAGTTCTGGCTGGCGGCAGACAACTTCCAGCAACACTTGGCCAACCAGGGCCCCGGGTATAATGGTCTGCAGGCACAGGACGACGCCATGGTGCTTTATGACAAGTGAGTTATGCTGTAAACATTCTTGCATAGCTCAAAGGTCCCATGAACGTCCGGGGTAGAATAGGCCTTCAGCAACCCATGCTTGCTATAAAAGGCAACTATGCTTGTCGTAAAAGGCGACTAACGGGATCGGGTGGCCAGGCTCGCTGACTTGGTTGACACATGTCATCGGTTCCCAGTTGCGCAGATCGATGCTCATGCTGTTGATCATAGCATTGTCTGGTCCCGACCGTCGCCAAATAGCTGGAATATTGCTGAGTGCGGCATAAAAGTAAACTCACTCACTCCCTCGCATAGCTCAAAGGATGCCAAGACTTTGTTCAGCAAAGATATCGTAGCTTCTTATGACTTAAGATGATGATAATCTTTGGCATTTACTATTTTCAGGACTTTTCAGAAAAGCGAGACGTGTAAATTAATTATACCCTAGCCAGGCAGGATAATAGTGAACCCTCTTATATATATAGTTTGATAGTATAGTGGTCACTGGTCAATGCCTTGATAAATTAAAAACATGGGAAATATGTTGTTTTTGCCCAAGATATTTTATGGATTTAAATCCATAAAATACCATAAAATATAATTTTAAAAATATCTTGGACATCTATAACAACTTCCAAATGCCACTAAAAGACATTATTTTGTTATTGTTTCCCAGAATTTAATGAATAATACCACAACTGCTGATTTGTTCTTGTATTTTATTTTCCTTATCCTGACTCATGCTCTTTTTTTCCTTATCCTGCTTGTCTCCTTCCTCTTGCTAACATAGTGGAACACTTGTATCTCCCTAATTGAAGTTCCCTTCAATGTAAAATCACTAATTAGTACACCACGAAGTTACCTCCCTTCCACAAGCTGAACGAGGGCTTCACCTCTACCCATGTGCCTCACTCTTCCTTCTTCTCCCAGTGAGCTGGACGTGAGAGCCTCTGTGTCTCCCGACACACTATATCCTTTGATTATATTTAGTTAGTTACCCTCGTGATAGAGATCTATAGAGGTTTAGCTAGTATCTTCAACAATTATATATTGATATTTAGTCGGTTTCTACTGTTTATGCACGGACGCGGTTGTTGCAGTGGATTACGCTTGATAAAAATTCTGTACTGCTGCACATTACGCTTTTTATTCTGCTGCTGATCCGCATTTAATATGCCCTAGCTGTACTGCGCCATGTTTCATGTGATTCACGCTGCAGCTGCGTATACTAATTTATCCAATTCTACCTTTAATAAATAATTACTTTGCGCTTGAGACGCTGCAGCAGATAGGTCACGATGCAGAGTCTAGCATGACTGATACACCTGAACCCCTCGCCAGTCTACTGCTGTTGGTCGACCCTCCCGCCTGGTTTTCCGCTAGAATGGTGGAGAGGCGGGACGAAGTCCGCCGCTTCCAAGAAGCGCCCTGCTTCCCCAGACATCCCTTCGCCGCACTGAGGGGTATTCAACGGTCTACTAGAACTTTCTCAGCCGAGATTGTTCTCATCGCAGATTTGGGCCTGTATGATGATCAGCCGATCATCATTCCTGATGTACATCAAAGAATGACTGATGTCGGCAACAGTGATGTCAGCGCGAGATCAACATTCGATGATCTTCCTGAGGGTCCCGCCGCTACTAACACTCAACGCAGACTTCGCGACCCCCAGGGCAGCCCGACCTCTGAGGGGAATTCAACGGTCTACTAGGACTTTCTCAACCGAGATTGTTCCAGCCGCTGAACTTATTCTACGATGATCAGCCGATCATCATCCCCGACGATGAGACAAGTAGCGACCGGGTGATAGCTACAATGACATCAGCAGAGATCGCCATGCAGCCTGATGTCTCTACACTGATGTCAGACGACTTACCTGAGGGCCCCACCACTAACAGCGCAGAGATGGCACCGACTACTTCGCCGCAGACCATCCCAGACGAAGCTACTACGCAAATCATGGTCGTGATGGAGGGTCACTACAGACTGGAGAAGCAGCCAGCCCAGAGTACGAGCCTTCGCTAAGGCTCCAACTTAGACAACACTCTAGAGGCACCTCCAGTCAACGAGCAGCCAAGACGATGCAGCCTTCGCTGGCGAAGTCGCAGACCACCTTGACGGCGGACCCAGATGTACAGCCTTCGCTAAGGCCTTCGCTGGGCGGATAGATCATCACATTCCTCGGCTTCATCCTTAGATGCAGACTCAGCCACCAGACCTCACGGAAGCCTTCGCTAAGCTCAAATCGCCGCTCCCCAGCACCGAACGCAGAGGAAGCTTCGCTGGCGCTGCTAGCGTGCTTCGGAAGGCGCTCGCTGGCTGGCATTCGCTGGCTGGCACTCGAAGGACACCAAATATAGATCGCCATTTAACAGAGTCAAGGGACTACTCAAGAGCTTCGCTGGCTGTCAATAGTCTCCGATCTCCTCGCATCATCACCACATCGACGCCTCACAGGTTACCACACAAGTCTGCACACAAGTCTACATCACCTTCCTAGAGTGGCAGTACGACGCAGACATACCTGATGAAGGAAGACGACGCAGATGCTATCACCCTACCTCCGATCGACCCGATTGCCGCGTAGCACAGAATCTAGACATAGCATCCCATAAAGCCACAAAAGTTCAGACACCATAATTGCCGAACTTTCACGCCTAGAAGTTTTCCACGCACAACATGGACCCCTTCTTCAAGGCTTAAGACATCGATGAAAACTACAAGTTGATCATCGATATCAACAATAAGAACTACAATCGTGAAATTGGTTCAGTTGAATCCATGACGAGACGTATGTTCGCTGGCCTAAATAGATCTAGAACGATCATTGAGACACTTATCGCCAGATTTCGTGAATACGACTTCTGAAAATGATAAGATGATCCACTCGCCCTACTTATGCAGAACCAGCAAGTCCCAGGTCAGCCTCGCTAAGGAGCTAGAGCCTCACCAGCTACAAGGGACGCCGCTGAGGAGTAGCGCCACGACCCCACATCCTGTTAAACACAGAGGCCATTCATGGCAAAGCCTTATATATATATATATATATATTCTAATCGACTCTTGATTCGATACCTTCGCTAAGGTCGCTAAGGCTAAGTGGCTCCAAGTCTACTTCACCAGTAGATCTAGAAGGGATACTTCGAGAGCTTCGTGGAAGTCTCCGGGCGCTCACCGAGGAAGTCTCCTCCAAGGTCTCCATATACTCAGCCACTCGCCATATATAGCTACTCCTCAGTCCGCTCAAGACATCGCATAAGTTGTCTATCAACTGTATGCCAGATGCCGCCTATAAGCCTACGCCAAGACAATTGCACAGGCTATTTACAACACAGAACGCCGCTGTATTAATTTGTCAACGACGCTTCATAGATCTTCACAGAAATCAACTATTCCGTGATAAATTGCTAGTATATGCAATCCCGACGACGATACGATTATCTACATGCGACCATTACGCATATCTGCAGACAATTCAATATCGAAATTGAACAGCAGCCTTGTTACAGCGAGTATAACTCATAATCGCCAACATTTCTGAGAAGAAATATGTACAACAAATTCAGCTTTAATTCTACAATTATGACGATACATTCATGTATACAGTCTACAAGCTGACAACTTACAAGTTATTGTACCTTTATATATAAAGAAGTCGGAATTATATTCAAAACTGAAGCACTTTCACGACAGCCAGGAAAATAACCTACCCAGCATTAATATTACAGAGCGAGGTATTTTATACCAAGCTTTCGCTGCGCTACCATTAATCCTCAAACACGTATCACTCGGGTAACTTCGAAGTTACGATGAAGACCGACGATTGTTCTAATATCAACGACGCACTATATTATACAAGGTTCCTTTTCCTGCTACACCGGGTGACATCACAGCTGGTACTCTACAGAATCAAAATGCCTTATTCTGATTGGACCCTCGATGAACAACGCCTCTACACAGAGGTCGAAAGCATAGTTCACAGTTCAAGACATAGGTTGCAAGTGACAACTTTATATCAATGAACGAAAGCAAGCCTCCTTACAGCCCAGTTAACCTGAACCTTCATGATTAGGCTGCTTTCTTCAGGTTAGAGACCTCCCCTGTCAAGTTTAGACAAGGGCACAGCAGTCAGGCGATTTTACATAAAGTTCATCGAGGACACAAACTCCCCGGTTAGTGCATATACATCGCCAAGGACATCGCGAACGATTTACCTAGACGACGGATACAAGTGGATCGAAATCCACAGCCGCTTCAGACTACACCTGAATTTCATCATCAAGCTACTAACACAACTAGATGGTTAGTAAACCTACTAAGTTTCTGTTTGGAGAATAAACGGAAGTTTCAATGCACTCAACTTGGGGATATGAATATAGTGTTACAACACCTCACAAGTGAGGTTTATGAACATGCCTGGATGACATACTTGGACTCCATGATAATGATGATGCTATCACGCTGGCCAGCAAGAGCACTGTAAATTTATCTCCACCAAACCAAACAGGAAGAAAAAATACAACAGATTTTTTTTCTCTCTATCATCAACTTACGCAGAGTGTAGTCTCACAATGCACTATATCTCCGCTTGGATCAGAACTGTCATACTACGCATATACAAGACAGATGGACCTAATCCGACCCTCCATGAGCTTTAATACCTTTGATATTAGAGCTTAACTTCTACAATTTCATCTACACAAATGTTATTTGAAATAATGGAGGGTTTATTACTGTAGATCCGATATGGTGGTTGCCAACCATTATCTGAGAGATATCACCACCGAGGACATCTCAGGTATCCACCAATTTGATCCCATGGTCCTTGCACAACAGTTGACAGTTCCTCGAGAAGATAAGTCAATCTTACAGATTTTACTTATCTTATAACAGTACTAAATAGCTTCATGCTATATATAATTTGCTTAAGCTCGCTTTTTATCATCACAGTGGTTACATGATAAATGCATTAGCTAACAAACTCTACAGAGTTTTTTGGCTATTATATACTTGAGCTTAAGTCAAGTATATTTTAAGCATAGTACTATACTCATATTGTAAAATATATTAGCTAACAAACTCTACGGAGTTTTGCTATTATATAGGTAGCTTAAGCTCATTCATATCTTAAGCTCAGTACTATGTTTATATCATATAACTATATTAGCTAACAAATTCTAAAGAGCTTTTGCTATTTGGCTTAAGTTTCATCATATCTTAAGCAATATGGTTACATTATAACATGTATTAGCTAACAAACTCTATGGAGTTTTTGCTATTATATATGTAACTTAAGCTTATTCATATCTTAAGCGCAGTACTATGTTTATAGCATATAGGTATATTAGCTATCAAAACTCTAAAAGAGTTTTTTGCTATTATATATTGGGCTTAAGTTTTCATCATATTTTAAGCTTTATGGTTACATTATATCATGTATTAGCTAACAAACTCTACGGAGTTTTTGCTATACATATGTAGCTTAAGGTTTCTTCATATCTTAAGCTCAATACTATGTTGATACCATATAAGTATATTAGCTATTAAAACTCTAAAAGGTTTTTTGCTATTATATATTTAGCTTAAGGTTTACTTCATATCTTAAGCTCAATACTAGGTCTAAATCAACATAATAAAATGTATTAGCTATCAAACTCTACACGGAGTTTTACTATTATATATATATAGCTTAAGTTTAATCATATCTTAAGCTCAGTACTATGTTTATAACATAAAAGTATATTAGTTAATAAACTCTAAGGAGTTTTTGCTATATACATTTAGCTTAAGTCTAATCATATCTTAAGCTTAGTACTATGGTTACATTATAAATCTATTAGCTAATAAGCTCTACAGAGTTTTTGGCTATTGTATATGTAGCTTAAGTTAATTATATCTTAAGCACAGTACTATACTCATATTGTAAAAATATATTAGCTAACAAACTTTACTAAGTTTGGCTATTATATATGTAGCTTAAGTTAATTATATCTTAAGCACAGTACTATACTCATATTGTAAAAAATATATTAGCTAACAAACTATACTAAGTTTGGCTATTATATATGTAGCTTAAGTTAATTATATCTTAAGCACAGTATTATACTCATATTGTAAAAATATATTAGCTAACAAACTCTACTAAGTTTGGCTATTATATATGTAGCTTAAGATAATTATATCTTAAGCACAATACTATACTCATATTGTAAAATGTATTAGCTAACAAACTCTACAAAGTTTGTTGTTATATATATAGCTAAGCTTATTCATATCTTAAGCTCAGCACTGTCTATATCATATAAATATTTTAACTAACAAACCCTAAAGAGGTTTGTTATTATATAATTAGCTTAAAATTAATCATATTTTAAGCTTAGTGCTATGTTTATATCTTAAAGTATTTTAGCTAACAAACTCTAAGGAGTTTATACTAGCATATTAACAAGCTTAAGTCTATTAGTCTTAAGCATTGTATTAATATTATATATACTTATCATAATAAGTACATTGTAATAACCTCTATATGGCAGCTGATAAGCTGGCAGCAGGAATTCATCAGTTCAATGCCTTTATGAAGTTCCCATAGGGTTATTACAATCATCACAGTTCAAATCACTAATTATTAAAATCCAAAGTATTATATATTCCCACCTCCGCTCTGTTGGATTCTACAAGCAAAAAGAGCATGAGTCAGGATAAGGAAAAATATGTAATTTTTTGAGTAAAATTGATATTTTATACTTATCCTGACTCATGAGGTCAGCCCTCCCATCCTCCCCAAATAACACTTTGGATTTCCCTGTAAATTCAAATGTTGGGCTCCAGTATATGAGGAGAGAGTGAGGCACATGGGTAGAGGGTGGCCTCGCTCCCAGCTTGTGGAAGGGAGGTAACTCGTGGTGTACTAATTAGTGATTTTACATTGAAGGGAACTTCAATTAGGGAGATACAAGTGTTCCACTATGTTCGCAAGAGGAAGGAGACAAGCAAAAGAGCATGAGTCAGGATAAGTATAAAATATCAATTTTACTCAAAAATTACATTAACACATGGTTTGTGGAGTTAATTAAAGGGTTCGGGACAAATGAAGCTGCACTATTCTTGAGGTCATAATTTTCAGGAAAACCAGCAGTTTGTTGGTTTACATGATGTTTACTGATTTATAACAAAAGCTGAATAAATTGGAATGACTTAATTGGTGTGATTATTTATTTTTAAGTGGATAATAAAAAGGTGTGGACACTCTTACTTTCACGGGGGTGGGGTAGTCTAGTGGTTAAAGCGTCATTGCCACGCACAATAAGACCGGGTTCGAATCCCATTTCTGGTGTCCCCCGCCGTGATGTTGCTGGAATATTGCTAAAAGCGGTGTAAAACCAACCTCAGTCAGTCAGTCAGTCTTACTTTCACAAAGGCCAGCTAAAATATCTGTCTGTGCCCAATGGCACCCTTCAAAACAATTGCATTTCTATATCTGCCCTGTATGGAGGAGTACAATTGTTGATGTATAATAGGAATGAGTGTTTCTTAATGAATTGTCATGGTCCGCTGTCAGAGTGAACTTTAATATCTTGACAGGTATTTCTCCCTACAAGCCACACAGCCCTTAGGATTTGAGGATAAAATTCGCTTCATGGTGGAAGGCAATATATGCCGAGAAGGAGGCCCTCTACCTGACTGCTTTGCCAAACCTAGAGATGTAGTGTTGAATACATTAGAACAGGTATGTCCTTGTTTCAATGAGATTCTAGTAACTGCTCATGGTATTCATACCTTACAGTATTGTGTACAGCAACCTGATTTCAGCATACCTGAAAGAAATCAAACTCTAGTATTGTCTCACTTGCCATAAATGACCTGTGAACATCCAGATTAGAATTGGTCTTCAGTAACCCATGCTTGTCATAAGAGGTGACTAACAGGATCACATGGTCAGACTCGCTGACTTGGTCGACATGTCATTGTTATCCCAGTGCGTAGATTCATGCTCTGGCTGTTGATCACTGGATTGTCTGGTCCAGACTCGATTATTTAAATACTGCCGCTGTTAGGGGTGGGTATTGCAGAGAATATTCATATTGTGATATATTGCGATGCGAAAGCATGTATTGTGATATGCATTGCATTATATTGCATTAAGTACTTTTAAACAAAAAACTACTTGTAATCGAGTTACTGCTTGATTTATAGAGCAAAAACACAACAAAATCACTATGCTTGATTAAGCTTTAATAACAAATTTTAATCATGATAAAATATAAATGTGAATAATATTTGGCACAAATGAAACAAGGAAATATCCAAAGATTTCCGATCGTTACGACGTTTTCCGAAAGCATGTCAAAATACCGGGTTTTGATCAGCGTATCGCAATACGTTTCGTTTTCATGTCTGAACTGGTAAATACCGGTAAACCGGTTATATTACGCGGCCCTAGCCACCGGACGTATAGGTGGAATATTGCTCAGTGTGGTGTTAAACAACAAACCAACCAACCATGCCATAGATAAAAAAGATTAGGTAATGGCCTATTTGTCCATTATCAGAGTCTGTGAACATTTTTTTAAAACAAATCCACTTGTGGAGCTGAATCATAGGATATTTCCTTCAATGATGACACACAAAAAAATTCTTGGATGATTTATCTGATTTTCAATATGGCCAATATGAAGTGAAATTTGTTATGTTTACTCTGTAGTGTTTACTTCTATGTTGCATTATTTTGACCTTGGTTGTGTCTACAGATTCCTAGATATTCCAATTCTGATTGTTGTTCCAGTTCTACTTCCCCGCCTACCTCCAGAATGACATGTATTACAAGTACCTGTCGGATCTAGTCAGCACTGTCCAAACAGCTCAAGACATCCCAGTCAGGCCAAAACACAGGAGAACAGGTGAGCTACAGCACTAGGTCAAGGACAAAACCAGAATATCAACATCTGATGATGTCTCCATTACTTTTAAAAAAGTGGACAAACGCTTAGACTTGATCTGTCTTTGAACTGAGCCATACTTTTAGAAGGCGACAAACAGTTTAGTGAAAAATATTTGTTTAATAAAATAAAATATTAAACTGTGTAAATTAGCTCGAATGTGTCTTCTGCTGCTGAGTTGTCAAGCTCTAATGTGAGTTGGTTTTACAATACACGGTACCAGGCTCTACACAGTTCTGTTGAGCCCTAATCGAGTATTTGATCAATCACTGGCAGATCATGCTGACTGGAGAAGCTGAGGAAATGATTTGTGTGTGCTATGTATTTTCACCTACAGAGAGTGATGCATCATCGGAGCATCATCGGAACACAGTGTAGGGAGTCAGAGTGTTGGAGCAGACGGCATCAAGAACACCCTCCTAGCCATGGACACCAGCCACGTGAAGAAGGCACTCACTCGCATCGAGGACGACATGCGGATCGACTCCATGCTTCTCAATCCAGATGAGTTGTGGAAACGGCCAGAAGCTGGGTAAGTTTAGTCCTGTTCAGTGTAGACTTTTAGTCTCTTCCTGCCGACAATCTTGTTCTCCCGTCCAAAGTTCCTTCCATGCAAACCTGTGATTATCCGAGTTAAAATTGATCTTCATGCTTGCTGTAAGAGCGGTGAACGGCAGGGAATATTTCATAGCAGGAAGTGAACGATTTTGGAATTGGCACAACACTAAGCATTCATATTTGGCACAAAGATAGTTAGATAATTACTCTAAATGTTGGTGTATTTTGTTTTTCATTTATATAGCAATGGTACCTTAAACTTTGATATATTTATGCATCTTTACTAAGACGTAGCCGAAGCTAGACAATGTTTTTTACAGGCTCATGGGCTTGTATGATGACGGAATGGAAAGATATTTGGTGGAATTACGCACCTGTGTCTTTTATTTTACAGCATGAATTTGGGGGACAATGTGGCCTTTACAAATATGGATCTTGACAATTTTCCTACACCTAAAAATAAAACCTGCTCTCCTTTTCGCGTGATAAATCGTTCACTTCGTACTATGAAATATTCCCTGCCGTTCACCGCTCCTACAGTGTGAAGAGGCTACAATATGATTCCATCTTTTTTAAACGTTATTATTAGACTTAGTGACACAAACCTTTGTATTCAGTGTAGGGAGACTAAACTACAGGAATAGGAAATAGCTTTTTAAAATGTCAGAGTTGTCATTTATCTGTTACAACTTTTAAAACTGAATCCCCATAAATTTAAGAATTTGAGTTTATTGCTATTCTCAGTTGTAATTTTTGGCTCCAGTGCTATGACCTTGGGGGCTGTTGATGACCTTGGACAGTTCAAGTCAATGTTTGCTCCGGAGCCAGATCATGAGAAGAAGAAAGGTAAGATGGCTATTTCTGATTGATTTTACCAATCACTGAATTATTCATAATGAAATCTGTGGTCAAATTTCATTCAGCTGTCATTGGTCAGTCATTGGAATTCCAGCAATATTCGACCCGTGAAGATCCAGGGTAGAATAGGTCTTCAGCAACCCATGCTTGCCACAAAAGGCGACTATGCTTGTCGTAAGAGGCAACTAACGGGATCGGTGGTCAGGCTCGCTGACATGGTTGACACATGTCATCGGTTCCCAATTGCCCAAATCGATGCTCATGCTGTTGATTCCTGGATTGTCTGGTCCAGACTCGATTATTTACAGACAGCCACCATATAGCTGGAATATTGCTGAGTGGGGCGTAAAACTAAACTCACTCACTCACTCCAGCAATATTCATCAATTGCCTGTACTACAATGGACAAACCTTAACCAGGACTGCCTACAATGTACAAGTTTGCTGAACATTTGTATTTAACAAGAATGACTGTGGTACTTTATTGATGTTTCATTTATTATGAGTATTGATTAGTCTCCCATGCCCATCGATGATCACTGATGCAAGCGGGTTGATCAATTCATCAGTTATTCGATGTTTCAATTGCTCCACCACTATGGTTAGAGGTTGAAGAGGTGATTTGACTTAACACTGTAAGTGCACTAGCATGAAGTTGTTAAATTTGATTAGAAAAGCTTTTGGATAAATACTGTAGAATCAGTGAGAAGAGTCTATTGAGAGGATGTGTAACATTAGGTTTGAGCTGAGAGAAAGAGCTTGAAACGTTTACTATGAAGATTCACAGATTGTCAAATTTGCCACCTCATTGCTATATTCAACCCTCGCTTAGTGTGGACCCATGAAGATCTAGGATAGAATTGATCTTCAGTAGCCCATGCTTGTCGTAAGAGGCCACTGAAGGTATCGGGTTGTCAGGCTCGCTGACTTGGTTGACACGTCATCGTATCCAAGTTGCATAGATCGATGCTCATGCTGTTGATCATTTGATTGTCTGGTACAGACTCCAGGGCTCCAGATAATTTTTCAAGATCAGGAGTACGTACTCCTTATTTTTTCAATATAAGAGTACTTGAAAACTTTAAGAGTACATTTAGAGTACTGAATGGAATTTAATGGAGTATCAGTAATCTTGTGTTTCGTTTCATGTATGCACCACAACATTGCCACTCTTGTGTAAACAGGTCAATAAACAATAAAAGCATACTTTTTTCGGATAAATACGACTGTAAATGATTCTAAGACCGTACACCATTGCAGTGGTGCGTATCTGCTACTTTTTCCAAAACATGTCCTTCCATATCATGCATATTTTTTATCCGTACATACGCCAATACGACCCTTATCTGGAGCCCTGGACTCGACTATTTACAGACTGCTGCCATATAGCTGGAATATTGCCAAGTGCAGCGTAAAACTGCACTCACTCACTCACTCACTCACTCACTCACTCACTCACTCACTCACTCACTCACTCACCTCACTCCTCCTCACTCACTCACTCACTCACTCATATAAAACAGATAACTGAAAATGTCTTCTGTTCCCAGATTATGGTGTTTTGCCTGACATTGATAATATGATAATGATATGCTGTATCTGTCAATTTGTTTTCAGGGTCAAGATTTTTCAAGAAGAAGAAAGATAAGGAAAAGGTTAGCATGAGGGAGTTGGGTAAACTGGGTAATGGTAAAAGCTAAATAAGCAGTTATTCTATTTTAGTTAAGTACTACCCTCATCATCCTTTATTTATCATCACATCGTTCCTCCTCACTCACTCACTGTATCCCAATTGATTAGTTGATTTACAACACATTTCTAATTATATTAGATTAAACAAGTCTCAACAGTTGATATTTTTGCCCACACTGTGTTCCAGTTATATGAAATGAAAGAAACGTGAGATTCTATCACCATAGTTTGTAACAATTGGTAAAACAATATGCAAATCTTTGTTCTAACATAGAAAACATTAACTGTCACTATAATTTGTCAGTCATACTTCCCCAATGGTGTATGTGTTCTGTTCAGTATTTATCTGAAAGATCAGTATTTATCTGTAAGAAATTCAGCCATCTACTTTGAATTAAAGGCCAAAGATCTTAGTGAACTAACAAAAGATGAAAGGAGTTAGTGAACGTCATTTATCATCCAAAACTGTGTTCCCCAGGAGATATTGCTTGTGTGAGATCAGACGATATCTCCTCTGGGCAAAATCGTTTTAACAGTAGATTTTGTACAATACCCTGACAATGCTATGACGTCATGAACTTGATGTCACAGTGCTATGACATCGCTGCACTACAAGTCTAATGGTAGTACAGTGTTCAAAGATGTACAGTTTTCACTGAAAACTAATGAAGAGGGATTTTGATGATAAATAGAATCTCACCCTTGTGAGATTCGTCAAGCCTCAGATATTTGTTACTTTGTCAACTCGTAGTGATATATTTGATATCAAAAGACACTTGGGTGAGATTCTCTATTTCTCTTCAACAGGAGCAGGAAGACATGGCTTTGAGAGTTGCCCAAATGATCATCAACGATGTGACAACGATGACTCAGACAGGAGATATATACGCCGGTGTCGTGTCATCATCACCAAGACTGGCTCCCCGCAACACGCCCGACAGTGCAATACACTCCAGCAAGGGAGGTAACTCCTAGCAGTATTAACCAGTGTTGCAGTATCTGGTTACTCAAGTATGCTCGGACTGTTCATGGATGTATTACTGAATGATTGATTGACAGATTCATTACTGTAGAGTGATTGACAGATTGATTACTGATACAGATCAATACCTAAATCTTCCATGCAGCACATTACACGTGTGAAATGAATGATATTTTTGTTAAAATGTGATATTTGTTTGCAGTTGTCGATAATAATATTATATTGTGTTTATCATCGTCATTCCATGGTCTGATAGGAGGCTGGTTCTAGACGAACGTATTCGACTGTATTTTCTTGTGTACATTGCACACTATGTTATGGCATGGCCTGCCTGTCTAGTACCCAGCCTAACAATGGCAGCCATGTTGAAAAATCTATTTATGGTCTCTCACCATCTTCGTTCAAAAGGTATCAAAATTTGGTACACTTGTATTTGATAGTGGGGCTCAATATATCTGTTCCTATTTAAACAATTATTAAAATTTGACCATTTCAGTTCCTCTATGCCCTTTGTTTTCTGAAACTGTATCCAGGCTCTCATCTTCAAGTCTTCTGGGCACTCAAGCCGTGTATGATTGTAGGTTTGAATCCCGGTGAACCAAATACTGTATCTAGCTATGTCCCAGCCATACATGTGCTTGTGGGTTCCACCAACATGGTGAATGTCTCAGTCCTGCATCAGTTGGAACTTTCCTCTGAAATTAAGCTGACATGTGTGATATACTGGAATTCTTTTCAAAGCGGTATTGAACCCTTCTTACTCACTCTGTGGTTTTGTAAACATATCATATTGCTGTTCCATTGATTTCATAATCACGAAAACAAGGAGTAGTTAGTGGTGCCATGAAGTAGAACTCTTCCACTGGTATGTGTGACTGATCATAAGGAAACAATTATTGTAGGAAATATCTCAGCTCAGTACCATGTAAACTGTCCTGTTTTAGACTATTGAGGATGAGAGTAAATCTCTTGTAAACATAAACTAAACATTAGTTTACGACATTGTCAATGTATGATATGACGAAATGATATCCAACATTCCTATATCATAATGATCCATCCACCATTGCAGGGATAGAACCTAACTCTAACCTACAGCCCGGGTCTAGTACAAATCCTTGAAGGCTTGCACACATTTTCCAGTTTCACTATTTTTTAATATCAGAGCTTATTTTAACCTGGGCTAGTAAAGGTTTTTGAGTATAGCTCTGACCCAGACCATTGTGAGAATGTTAGACATTGTCTCTTGGAGTCAGGATTTCAGGATATTCTTCAAAAATGGTTCTTCCTCCTGTTGATCATTCTGTGTACAGTTGTTCCTGTCTTTGAGGAAGGATCCTGATCTGGTTGGTTATTCGAAAGTTGAAATAGATTGAGATATCAGACCTTCAATTTGAAAACAAATAATGTGTCTTCAAAAAATTGGTAAAAATGAATCAGAGTTAGGTTTTGAAATTAACTTTTATCAATAAATATTTGAACATTGCAGTGTGTAATGGTTTTTTTTACATTTGTTTTCGCAAACAACTTACAAAAAACACTGTCCTCTGGTTTTTCATAACTTTTCATAGTTAGGACAAGAGGTCTAGTTTCATATGCTTGTCTTTTCATACAAGCTCTCAGGAGGGCACACAGCTGAAACTCAATTGCTCACTCTTTAGGCTGTAGCAGAGTTGCTTCCCCTGGCCTTGCTAGGATCTGTTGATGGGTTCAAATCTACAGATTGTAGTTCAACACAACATTAGGATGTGAATCATATCCAGATCTTCTTCAGGATGAGTGAACGCTTGAACAACTGAGCTCCAAATCACAACAATGCAGATAAGTATCAGAATGTCCCGTATTCTCATACAAGTCTATGTAAACAACCTAGCAGGTGTATCAGATGGAAATGTCAAAGCGAAAGTATTTTTTATATTAAACATCTACCAACCTTCATTTGAATGAACTGTTAGCAAATGATGTATATTCCTTTGGTAGCTTATTTGATCTGGGCAGTTTCAAATGATGACAATCAGAATCCCTAATGGTTTAATGATGGTCCTTGGTGTGGCTGGCTAAGTAAGGCATTGCTTTCAGTCATAATAACCTGCCAGTTAAACACAGATAGCTGGCAATGGATAGTTACCTTTTAAAACATCCGAGCTATCATAGTGCTACGACTGTTACGAATCTATGTTAAATGTCACAATTTGTTGGTGCAAGATTTTACCAATAAAAAACCTTGTTAAATCGGCCATTATTAATACTAAACCTGCTGATTAACAAGTAAGTGTATGATAGTCTTAGTGATATGATTGCTTTGTGGATTGGGACTGTGTTCTAAATCACCATGTGTAGCCCACTGATGCTGCTTGAATAGAAAGTTAATCTGAGTTTAGAGATATAATCTGTGTGATAAACATAGATGGCACCATCCTGATGTGACTAAAAGCCTGTTCAGATTGGCATCATGTTAAAAGAATTCTTATTTCTTATGACTCTTTTTCTAAAATAACTGGGACGGTGGGGTAACCTGTTCAAGTGTTCGCTCGTTACGCCGAAGACCGGGTTCGATTCCCCACATGGGTACAATGTGTGAAGCCCATTTCTGGTGTCCCCCGCTGTGATATTGCTGGAATATTGCTAAAAGCGGCATAAAACCCTACTCACTCACTCACTCACTCAAAACTAACTGAGGTAGGATGTTTTCTGGGTTTTTTTCTCAAAACTTGACATTGTGTATTTATGGTTTATTTACTTTCAATGCAAAAATGGTTGGAATATCAAAAGCAAACATGATATAGAATACATTTGATTATATTGTTGGCCTGCCTGGATTCTAAATATTACCTAATCTAAGATCTGACAGTTGCATTCATTGTGATTTCTATTTAAAAGCAATCTTTACCATCTGCTGTAAAAAAAATATAGTCATTCTGATTTTGTATCTGCGGACTTAAATTTTTATGGTAGTAGATCCATAAAGCCAGCAGTTAAAGTATAAGCTCTCAGGTTCCAAATCCATAAATGTAAACCTGTTTGTACTGTTCTACAAGACTATACTGACACATTACAGCCATTATCCCTGTACAAAGTGTGAACAAATTCTCATGATGACTATGACTAGGATTGACTTGCCAGTCCGACTCTTATTCAGGTCTGGTGTATGCAAAAAGTTGGATTCAAGGACAGTAACGGAATTAGAGTTGAAAAAAATGTTTAGCGGATTGTCAGAATGAACAAAATATTATTGACGGGGTCAGTTTAGGGTTGAACAGGTCATAAGAATCAAGATGATTATTTAATTAGCCTAAGCCCTATGTGACCGACAACAAAGGTGTGGTACCTGTGTTACCATGGACACAGGAGTTGTACTTAATATCTACTTGGTGCCAAAGTTAGATAGATGAATCTTCAGTGTCACATACTGTGCTCAGATTCTGATGTATGTGTTGATATTCAGCGTTATACATTATATATTTATGTGTATAGGGATTGTTGAAATTATACAGTTATATTAGAATTATATTTTTTTGTTCAGATTCATACTCCAGAATCATTGTGCTTTATCAGTATCAAGTATGTTTTTAAATTAAATGTACAAATTCCTCAATGCAGGTTTTGACAAAACTCTGAAACCTTGTTAATTTAGACTACATTGATCCAGACAGTTTCCTTGATTAACAAGCATCTTAAATATATTATCAGGACTGTGGGTGGTTGAGGCATAGAATGCACTAAAATCTGCTGTGCAGAGTTATGTCCCTTTGTGATGCCAGGAACTGATGAATGTGGGTTTGAATCCCGATTTGTCCTGATGATGTGTTAAGGCTTGTCAGCAGTATGCCTATACTCTTGGGTTTCACTAAAGTGGTAAATGTCTGAAACTTTATCTGCTACATTCTTCATATTGAGCTGAACTGCCATAACACACTGGACTTTTGTTCAGGTTGTAGTTAAACCCAACTCTGTCTTGAAATTCATTCTCAGACAGCACATTTCCTAAGTGATCTGTGACAAATGTTCGATTCCAGTCTACCTAGGGCACTTACACAACTAAGAAATTCATAACCATTCAATCAACTTAGAAGCTGCTAGCTTAGCATATATTTCCACCTGTACTAGAGATTTATTTACATGTCTGTCCTGGAAAGATCTGTGTTAGAATTCATATAAAGCAACAAATGCTTGTCGTAAGAGGCGACAAACAGTATCGGGTGGTCAGGCTCGTTGACTTGGTTGACACATCATATCCCAATTATGTAGATCAATGCTTGTGATGTCAAGAACTGGATTGTCTGGTCCATACTGTGTTGTTTACAGGCTGCCGAAATGTAGCAGGAATATTGCTGAGTGCGGCGTTAAACAACAGACTTAACCAACAAAGTAATTTTCATGTCTAAAGTTTGGTTCAGTAATTTACATAACACCCATTTATTTTGTGTCAACTTCACAAGAAATGACTAGTGTTTAATTTTAAAAACATGAATTGTTGTTTTTAAAATTAGTTGTATCAAACGTCACTGAAAAAAAAAGTTTCATGTTTTATAAAAATACCTAAGTTGTTCATGTGACATGAAAAATATGTGTTGACGTAAGAATTACTATACTTGGATTCTTCTATCACAGAATGCAGTGGCCCAAAAAATATCCTGTGTCTTAATGAAAACCCAGCACAACTTTTACTAGTGGTAGCATCTTAAGTCAATCTCCTACCCAGAGTTCCATGCGGCCAGCCAGCATAGTACCTCTGCCACAGGCCAGAAAAATGTGACGATTCGTCACATCTTGCACCGTCCATTCAATATAATGTACACATTTCTTAACTCTTTTATTTTTGACGAGCCTAAACATCTAATTAAACATCTTTGATAGAATGGCTTAGTTTCACTGAGAAAATATCCTAAAACATGTAACACTATTTCGATTTGCGTAGCGATCCTTTGTTTACGTAGGTTGTACGGCTCCACGTGCTGTCATCGGAGCCGACAGGGAGCAAACGATGCAGCCAGTTTGATATCTAAATATGTACTGTCATAAATGTTACTGTCGCAGTTGTGGAAGAAATATATGTAACAATGTAAAACATTGTAAAGAGCACGCTGAAAAGCTTGCGTAAGGCCAATCTCTTCTTATTATGAATATGCGCGTTTGTTTACAAACAAGAGAAAAGTCCGGTCACGTGATATGCAAATTAGCCTGTGGCAGTGATGTCATGTTAAGTCATCACTGCGCCGGAGTGTGATCTTAAGTTTGTTTTATATTTATGTGGTTTTCTACTATTTCTATCCAACAGGTAGTTATGTGTTGACGGGGCTGTGTTGGTCAAGGGATATCTGTGTGTGTGTCAGGATCTTAGGCATTTCACGTCATAGAGCATTTTAACAGTATAGTTTGTGTTATCCAGACATGCATGAATGATGTT